CCCCCTTTCCTTAGCACACATATTGCATACACTCCTCCTCCACTACCTCCTTCTCCTCCTCCAACAACAACAACAATTCTGTGTACAATAATACATCTTTTCATATCACATGGTTCTTTAAAAGAAGGAAGGATTTGGTTTACAAAATGCTGCTAGTGGATGGGTTCTTTTAATAAGGATGATCATAATGTGGATGGTATTGTTGATGACTGTAAGGGCTTGTTTGTTGTACCATGGTTGGATAGGGACTACCGCTGTTGCTATAGCTATGTTGGGTCGATAATTCATCTTGTTCACCCAACAATTCCTTGACTTCCCACACATTTTGCTTGGATCCAACCGAAAATTCGAGATCTTCCTTGGTGATGGAATCCCAATACTTGTATACCATCATGACGGATAGCAGTGTACATATGGTACCAAAGAACATGCCATCCACGTAATGCTTGACTTGGTTGCAAATCAACACTGAAAACACGTACATCAACACCTGGCCGATCAAAAAGAAAGCTGTGCCAAAAAGAATGTCTCCCAAAGGCCAAAGATCGTCAAGCGTATTGACAACAAGAATGATTTGCGACACAACGTAAATGAGAAACGATACACCATTGATGATAAACATGAATGCCCACAAGGCACCGGGGCTGTTGTAAGAAAATGGACCCATATTAAGGAACGTGCACAATGCAATCACCCCCACAATCAATCCGATAAGGAACGAGCTCAATCGAATGGACTATTGAAAGTACACACATGTTGGTGGTCATGTTGGCATGGTATCATCGATATACACTTACCCATAGAGAAATGGGCGTGCCATCCTCTGCAAATTGAAAGCCGACAAAGCCATTCAACAAGAGACACCAGAATGCTGCACTCACCACACCGACATGGATGGCTGCAAAATACTATCATAATGTCGTTAGAGCATGCTTAAGAACAGGGCGGCTTGATTGCTCTTACCGTGTATGCTGTGTTGGATGTTGGTATTATGTCGGTGATAAGCAACAGCTCTAGGAAAACGCTGAGCATGTAGAGGTAAAAGAACATGACAATCTCCTTGCGACCTAAGAAGGCGTTGCATCATCATGTTATCAATGTGCTTTAGAGGGAACTCCTTTCGATTTCTTTCATACCGACGGCTGTGTATTTGCATCGAACGTGATAAATCATGATGGCTGTCATGATAATGGCGACTACATCAATCACCAAGGTGGCTACAAAAGTGTCGTACAAGGACACCCGCATTAGTGCAACATGCTCAACATAAATGCAGCGGCCGTGTAACCGTTGGGTGCATACACATACCAGGCTGAAAGATGAGGTTACCACCCAAGTCGACGTTGCGTGAATAACATTCTGGCTCAATGCCTTCGTCTTTGCCCATCAATGGACATAATGGAAGGGCAACGGTTTTGCAAATGCCATTAAAGCTGAACGCTTCAAATTGAAATGTAATGTCGACCATAGTAATAATCGTTTTCTGATGCCGGTATTGCGTATGCTAAAAGATAAGGAGGGGGGATATGTATAGTGTATGTACGTCTCTGATGATGATGATGGATTACAAGGGGTGGGGTATACGTCGTGTCGATGGAGGCAGAGAGGGTGGATGGTTGTGATTATAAATGTAAAAGGATGTAGGCAGCAAAAGAGAGTAGTAGTATACCAGCAAAGAAAAGAAAAAAAAAGAGAAATGAGAAAGAAAAAAAAGGGATGCTCTACTACGTTTGACCATTTTTGTGTGTTTACTCCCCTTTCATCTAGATCTCCTTTTTTCGCATGTAGTTGAAACAAACACACACCAGCACCACAACGCCTTTTTTTCTGCTGTGCACCGTCACCCCTAAACAAAGGGATCCAATCACACTCCTTTTATGCAACTCGCTCATCATCAATCCTTTATAAATGCGATCAGTAATATACGTGCCCACATAGCATTGATCTTTGATCAAATCCTGCCACAATCACTGTTTTGGATTCCCATCCTGTATTTTTAAGCCGAACGTGTTGCTTTTCGGTATCCATGGAAACCACATTGGCTAGTTACGACATCCTCAATTAGCTAGTAGACGCCATTAAGAGAGCGTTGATATCCGATTAATGCTGATGGGAGATCTCCCTTAGGAATGATGTGAGCTTGTTGCTATCGCAAAAGCGCCCTTCTGTATGTTGGTAGACAACGAGCCATTTATGCCACGGGTTGATCATCCATCCAAAAACTGAAATTTTAATCATGGCATCACGCTCGATACTGCTCTATGATAAGCCAAGGGCAATCGTTTCTTGCACTTTGTGCTAGCAAGTACATAGCAACCTGCATCCGTGAGTCAATCCTGACTATGTATAATACAGCTTCGATGCTCCCAACATTATAAGTAGGTGTACATTTTCGCATGGGAACATTCTCTAAGCTAGTCCAATGACTCACATGTGTAATCGAAACCACGTCAATTGACCTCAAAGGTGGTGGGGTATGAGTGTGATACAATGCCACTGGTCACAATGCCATCATAATGAATGGTGATCCATGATAACATGCATCTCATCGGCTCATCGGCCATCGGCATCGCTTCATATTGGGACAGTGAATGCTGCAAACCGAACACCAATAAAAGTCGAGTGCAAAGCCTTTTGTGTCACAGAAGTCGCTTAGCTCGTGACCAATTTGGGGGAACGCGTTTCTCAGGCCTTTGGTTGATAATACAGCATCCTTATGAGGAGATCCTGGTAATGTACAATGAAAGGAGTGGTAAACATGACGATGAAAACTATACCGCCTTACCACCATTAACATACCCATCAATGGAAGTGCATAACAACCCCGTGCTTTATCCATTTTTGGGTGTGGTACTTCAGTAGTCGAGGCATTACCTGCTTGAAGAAAAAAGAAGAGCTCAATGGAAGAAAAGAAACAACAAAAGGAAAACACCCAAATCGTCCCCATTTGGAGGGCCAAGACAAATCAGGTTACACTAGCTAGTTGTGATGCTGGTTTTTGTGTGCTTGCTCTTACATCGCTTTCCTTCCGATATCATCCGTGCTTGGCGTGTGCAGCATACAACATTAGTTTTTGTAGTATTGTATCGATCGTTGCAATAAGATACAATTTGTATCCATCATGGAGATCACCATAATTGATGTTAGTGATGGTGTTGTGATGATGGGCAGGATCCTTTAATAAAGCGATCATGTAAATCATCATTGGTTTGATTGGGTGGAGTTGTGCCAGAAACGCGGTATTCAGGGTCTTTGGGGGGAAAGAAGCAAATGAAGAATAATCTGTGTAAACTTTGGGGGGGGGGGAAGAGAGATAAACGTCTGCTCCAATTTACTTCTACAAGTCAAATAGATGAACTCCGGGGTCAGGTTGCTTTTAATGGCAGGTTGACACCATTACGGCGACACATTCTTTTGTGTAACGTGTTGTGTCGTGACCTTGTTCCTTTGTATCAAATGATTCGGTCATCTCCTCGTAAGGCATCCAGTATATGGCAGCCTTTTTCAACATGCAGATGCTCGCTTAACAGTGGTGTAGAATGTGGCTACTGTGGCGTTCTACAGAATCATATAAATATGAGTGCCCATTTTGGTCGTGGCGAATGCCCTTATTCCTCTTTGATTCAACAACAATGGACCCTTCTTCAGTGACTCCCCCCTCACTTTACCACTCACCAGCAGCCAGCACGCCTTCAACCGAATACACTATTGATAGCTTTCTTTCTCCTTCAATTCCTTCTCATTCGTTGGGTGCTAATGAAACAGCCATTGCTATTTCACCCAGAGCTTCATGGCCAAAGATTAGCAACACGGCACCCAAGGATGATGTATACCGTGTTATGCAAGCCGTGGCTATCGATGTTGTGGAGGTCATCATGACCCATTATTCCCATCAAGGTGGTCTCGCAAATCAATCTCTGGTATCAGGAACAACGGATCAAGCCGTGAAGTTTTTGACGGATGATCCACGTTTGCAACAAGAATATTACAGGGACGTCATGTTTGAGCTTGACAAACTCATTATGCAACAAGAACGTTCCTTAACTCACATTCAAGTGCCGACACCGGAGATCACAATGACCAATGATAATGCGTTGTCGCCACCATCGGCCGCACCACCACCACCACCACCACCACCAGAGGCATCCACAGCTCGTGCCATTCCATCCACAAAAGCTGATAAGAAATGGAAGTGCGATCATTGTGGGGCTCCATGTTCACGAAGCGATGCAGTAAAACGTCATTGGCGTGAATCATGTACATTAAATCCCGAGTCAAAGAAGGTGAAGAAGATGATATCGCAGCAGCAGCAGCAGCAGCAGGTTCTTTTTCTAGGCAACCAGCAGCGTTGACTATTATGCACCTTGACAACTACCTTTGTATGCCTCATCCATTTCTTTTCATCTTGATTCATGCCTTTTCTTTTTTGTCTTTATTGTGATCCATTTCGTGTTGATTCCTCATGCCCCTCGCATATATATATATATACCCACTCACCTCCTCAGCGGACTTTTTTTTTACTTGTATGATATCATTGCTGTATATCCACCATCATTGTCCCACCATAGCGCCATACCCATCATCTCATTGTAACTATGACCATAAGTAAAGTAAATAAACCTCTTGATTTACATATACGTTGTTGGCCGCGTACTCGTTTCATACCATGCACAACATCAGGTGTACCTACCTAGGCATGAAGAAGCTATGTACCTTTGAAAGATCATGCGATATTCAGCATCGGTTGCCAAGTAATTAGCGTGCATGCATACTACATGTACATGATACACCAATAAATGTGCGAGCTTAATCACCATCCATTACCCAGGGAATGCTGCTGGAAGATGTATGCATGATGACTCCCTCGAAGATTCTATCATCGCAGTGACCCACGTGGACTCCATTACTACTTGCTTTACAGCTTACGACCCTTTACATTCCGCCATTCGCTGTCAACCACCTGCATCACCTTACAGATAGCTAACTTTTGGTGGAACCAATGATACAAAAGAATGGGCTGTTGCTGATGCTTGTAGCGTACCTAAATACGACCAGCAATGAAAGATGGATAAAAGAAGTCTCCAAAGCCAAAATGGTGAGCATGGTGCTGATAGCATCCTTGTTGTCGTGTAAAGAATGCTTATAGATTTCGGCCAATCAATGCCGGATCCGCCGCCCTTTTTACATGTGCCATGCCCATGGTATACATATTATCAGCAGGGAGTACTCACTCGACGATTACGTGGTCCCTAAAATGTAGATCTTGGCATGCAGTAAAAACCATGTCAAGACGTAGATGCTTCGAATGTCATGGTTTTCCGCTTAGAAACATCTTGAATTCGATTTTGACAAAGGCTGCACGCACACGCCATATACGCAGGATGACTCCTTGCCCGATAATTGAACCTCGTTGCAACACACCCTCAATCTTCACCACCATGCCATGCTTTAAAATAGATACACGTCACGTCATCATGCTACGTACATGTTTATCAATAAGTGTGGGAACGAGGCATTCATGCATCGGCCCCCCAAAGAGATGCAATGCAGCATCCTAAGGTTGGCTTTAGCTCATGGCTTTTATCTACATACCCAATCGCTTACAATGTATAAAAGGATGAAGCATGGAAAACGAAACATTGATTGTAGATGGCAACGCCGGTACTTGTGGCATGCTTAAAATAACGCTTCATCACCAGGACAATGTGGAGCAAGAAGTGCCCAATTTTATACGACTTCCTTTTTTGATGTTGTGAAGCACGAGCACCACATAACAACAAATCTGTGTCCTTTCTAAAATGCCGATCCCTCGCTTTGGGGGTGTCTTCAAAGCAAGATCGATTTACGCTTGGCTCGCGTGTTCCCATTGCCTAATCCCAAAACATCCCTTACAATAATATCATACGCGTGGTTGAACATACATCACGGCTCTAGAGATTTGCTATCGCTGTTTGGAGCATGTTCAATGGGTGACGATTGGTATACGATACGTGAGAACCACTTTTCCTCGTCACAAGGCTGAGCAAAGGAGTGTTCATTTCATCTTGATATTATAATTGGCTTGATGCGCCACCACAAAACCATTGTATTTTGACATTGATTGGTGTAGATAATGGGGGAGAAAAGGGAGAGGAGTGAAAACATCTTCATCCACAAGCAATGATTGGTGCAATGGAGCCAACTTTTCTGATGGATGAAGAAAAAGCACAATCGGATATGGAAGGCGATGGAATAAGATTTGGAAAAGAAGGTGAGCGGGCTCTCAAGAGGAGGGGGGGTTAATATAAGGCATGGGGATCACCATGCATGATCCAACAATATGCGACACACATACAGGTCTGAATAATGTCCAAATAAAACTATTGTAGTGGGGATCGATGGAAATCCAATCCCTACAATCTTGCTATTAACCACTTCTTATAAATAGGGGTGCAATTTATGCCCAAGGGTCTGTTGTCTTTGTCACAACAATGGACCCTAAATACATTCCTTACCACCATTCCTTGCCATCATCTGTTGTTAATACCAATGCTATATCAGCAGATGTCAATGTTGAAGATCCCATGCTACCACACGTTCCTCAAGATCATTTAGCAAGCATGTACCTTCATGGTATTTCGTATCTTGACCAGCTATCAACAATGTCGGCACAAACATTACCGGGATCCGAAGCCTGCTGTGTAGCGTCAGACGTGGCCCACGTGGTTAGCCAATGTTCACAAAGCCAAGGTGGCCTTTCAAATACCGACCTTGTGTCCCAAATGACATCTTGGGCGATCACTTTTATCACGGATGATGATTTTCTTCGTGAATATTATTATTGGCTTACGATTTACCGGCTATATACGAATGACACGCAATGGGATTGCTTATCTCACCTTCCTCCGGAAACAGCACCATCATCACCAGCACTATCACCACCATCATCGGCATCATCGGCATCATCACCACCACCATCATCACCACCACAAGAGTCAGCATGCTCACCGCTCACAATGAGCGACGTATCCAGTGAAGGAAGACCAGCGTGCGATAATTGTCATCGTACCTTCTCACGAAGGGACGCATTACATCGTCATCTCGAGAAGTCTTGCACGTACAACAGAAAAGGATACACTTCACAACATGTCTTTTCAGCATTCGAGTAATAATACCATCATCCTCTATACCAATCATACACTATACCTCTATCATCATTGGCCCTCTCTCTCTCTCTCTTTGACATTCTCATTATGCATGATGCTTTTTTCTTTATGTTTCTTCCCCGATACCACTTTGCTATGTATATCTCCATCTCATTTAAGATTATGTTCTTGCCTATATGTATGCAGACCCGTATTTATCCCATAAGATGTTCTTAACAAGACATTGTTTTATCTCATATAAAGGATCTCATCAATTACAGGGACTTTTGCTTGTTTGCCATACTTGAGGGAGGGAGGCATCTCGATATAGAAATGAGGAGTCTATTCTAGATTGATGCTTATCTACGACGGGTGGATAGCACTTCCTGCCAGATAAGGTAACCATACGAGAATATGAACCAAACTTCCAATCCAATGCGATCTCATGCTGCCGATGAAACAAGGTAGCTTTTGGCGTCGATTAACTCCATCCAAGTAACCATCGAGGCTTCAAGTCAAAAAAGGCTGTTCTGCGATCGTATCGTGGATTGCCCTTGGATGAAAGAACATCGTTGTATCGTCTTTTAAGCGAGATGCTGGTTGTTATCTTGTGTTGACATGCCTCAATCGCGTGATATCCATCATTATCATCCTGCAATGAATGCTCTGTGGTATGTGTGTATGCGTGTGTCTCGATCCAGGGAAGTCATCATATCGTAAGCTTTGCTGCCGTGTATTGACCTGCATGCTTTGTCGTATAGCGTGTATTGCCATTCTTCTCTATGTGCTATCCAGTTGCAATTGTCGGTTGATGAAGGTCGTTGAGTTGCCCATTCACCTTGTAGCAAAGACAACCATCGTGACGCCTTGTTGATTGTAGCGTTTGTGAACAATAAAGCGATGGGGCTTTTGAACCCTTTAACGTCGTAAACCTTGAGTGGGTCGTCCCCTTAACTTTGTGTTGAAGTCATGCAGCCACGCGATGGAGGTGGGAATTGTGACATGGTTGAAAACGGCGGAGTGAGAGAAGAAAGCAATGCCGTTTGTGGTGAGCTTCACGTTTCAGCATCAGTCTTCCTCCGTCAATGCTTGGCCCCAAAGTGGTCTAGACCACAGCCACAGCCACGGAGCGTATTCAAATCGTGCACAATCCCAGCATCTCGGATCCACAGTGCCAAGGTCATCTTTTACTTTACACCTCGCATCTTGGGAATCTCATGCTTGGTCTAGACATACAACGTCCTTTCATACATGTTACAGTAGCTTTATCAAATGCCAAAATAGAACATCTACCGCTTTTAAACACCATCTTTTTCACTAATGGCCGTGGATGATGACGATAATGGGATGCCAATAGGATGTAGAATGTTAATGCTTTGAGCATAAAATAGGTTGTCAAGTAATTAAGCTACTAACCAAAGCTGCATATTCGTTGCGACCGGTGACGAGTGTATCCTTTTTTCAAGTCAGCTGTCCCATCACGATGCTCGGTATTCTACCAGCGAAACGTGCGTGTGAAAGAGAAAAAGGGACCGGGGTGCTGGCATCTGCAAAGTCAGGAGTCACCATACATCATGTCGCTTGCCTAGGCCATCAAGCGGCTATGATTTCATCATCATATAAAAACCTCATATGAATACGCGTTCACGTAATTTGTGCGTTGCATTGATTGTAACCATCTCTTCTTCTACGTTCATTCCCTACCTTTTTTTTTTTTGCTACCTGTCGACCCCAATTGGGTAACAGCAGGATACTTTACCATCTCCGGATTCGCTTTATCGTCAAGTACCGTTCAAGATCGTTCCTCTATTATGGATCCTCAGAGTGTGTCGTGTACAGATCAGCCAAGGTCCACTATGCAAACACTAGAGCAACTTGATTGTTGTGTGGCAATTCGCGTAGCTCAGGTTGTCAAGGAAGTTTGCATACACCAACAAGGTGGGCTTGCAAACGCTGATCTTGTGTCTCGAACGGCATGTTGGGCGATCACCTTTATCACGGATGATCCTTTTTATCGTGAATATTACTATTGGCTTACCATCCATCAGCTATCTACGTATTACACGCATTCGCATCATTTGCCTCGAGGTTCCTCGGCAACAGCAACATCGATGCCAACACCACCACCAACGCCGGGACCACAAGAGGCACCATGTTCTCCGCTCACAACCAGCGATGTATCCAGTGATGGAGGAGGCATACCAAGGATGGCGTGCCATCATTGCCAACGTACCTTCTCACGAAAGGACGCATTAAAGCGTCATCTCAAGCGAACTTGCACTTACAACAAAAAAGGTTACACTTCACAACACGTCTTTTCTGCATTCGAGTAGAAGCCTAAATAACCTATTCCAAGCACCTCTTATATACCTTCATCATCATCACTCGAGCTTTTTTCGACGTCCATAGTATGCTTTCATTTATTGCCCATGCCCTTTCTGATAGCACTGCCCATTTTATGTATATACCATTCCATTCAAGATACCTGTATATCCACACGCACACGCACCTATAAGACTTTCTGAACAAGGAAAGCAACGACACATACATAGCTTATGTCAATAAAGATTCCCGCTTGCTAGGGGGCCATATTTTACAGCACCAATCGGTATAGCGTTGTAGGAGATGAATAGTGCTATTACAACTTGTTTCTTTATATAGCATAGAAAAACATGGTATGCTCGTTGTCACGAGATGCTGCTCATTGAATTGTGCAAAAGTAAGCGAAAGAAGCGAGAACACATTTATTGTTTTAACCCTCCTCCCAACTCAAAAAAGTACTTTTCCACCATAAACATGTATCTAGATCCTGTATGATGCTCAACAACGGATCATTTAGTACCATTCAAGCCAAGAGCATATGCTTAGGAAGTAATTGAAGCCGTTCTAACTGTGGAATGATACAGGGGGCGATCAAGGAAAGTTCCATAGTCATTGATGTCAGCTGTTGTTGATTATTGAGTACATATCAATGAATCGCTTGGGGCAATGGGGCTTTTTATATAAATGCTGTACTACTCATCATCGTTCATTATGCACCACGCCAATTCGATTGCGACTACCAAGGGCCATGGCCAGGCATGTTGTGGAAAGTATAAAAGACATGGCTCTGCTACCGTCACAGAAGCGAGGCAATTCCTGATTCTGGAAATGGTGCCTTGCATAGGTGCACCTGTCAGTAATTAAGCTACAGCGGTATCTTATAGAGGATGTGATCTTCAGTACTAATACAAAAATGGAAGAACGAGTGTGCATATTTTGAGTCACACGGACAACACACAAGAAGGCGAGAACATCCTTCAATGGAAGGTACGTTTTTAACCCAAAGGTAGGTGAGAGTAAACATGATAACAAGAGAATAAGAGATCAGAGCAAGATGGTGATGATGATGATGATGATGATGATGATGATGATGATGATGATGATGAAGGGCGCTGTCATCAGGATAATGTCGTTGGTCAATCCTATTATTAATGATCTCTGTGCGGCTATGCCAGGTCTACAAACGCTCAATTCTAATACACAACCGCTCATTAAATGCCATTGCTGGTTTAGAAAATGGAATGACGAAATTTTGCCCTTGGTCAAAGGTGCGTGATATCATTGCAGGGGGAGTTTGTTTTCTGAGCCTCCCCTAACCCATTCAATGACCATGGTTGATGGTGTTGTTGTTAGCAGCGGTTCCACTTTTGCACGTATTTAGGCACACGTTTTTTCAATGGGTAGCTTTTCCTTTATTTTTTATGCATCGACATCATTCAAACAGGTAATCGGATAGGCACACTTTCATCTATTTCAGCGTCATACCCAAAAGGGAATTTATGATGTGACACCAAACGATCCTTCGGGAAGTGAAATAGACGCACGTGGTTCCTCGGGAAGTAAAATGAATCCCCCCGTGCACAGACCACACAACCGGCTTCTCAGCTTTGTTTCCGACCTGGATGTTGTACCTTCCATCATGACTCAATTTTGCTTATCAACAATGACATTGAATCGTTTGCAAGTATCCATGGCAACAACCATTACGTGGTGTGTGAAATGACGTAGCCGTAAAGAGTGTGACGTTGTTTGCGTGCTTGTAATAACAACAGCGTTTGGGTTGCCAAGACAACTGCCGATCTCAGCCAAAGCCAAATCTGTTTCGCCCGATCAAGGCCATTCAAGTCCATCGTCAATGTTGACCACTGTGGGAGGCGTAAACAAGTAAGTTAGAACGGAAGATTGCTACAACTATGTTGTTTCCTTGGTTGCTTCGATTGCAGTAGCATGCTCTTTATTGGGACATCTTTGGCATCTCAAGAGGTATGTTGACTTGTTCTAGAATACTACTCATTCACTCAATGCCTACTTTAGTTTCGACCATGACTGGGAAAGGTTGGCTATGGGGGTTGCTTGCTATTGAGTCTTCCACCTTTGTCTCGTGTTGTTTCCAAAGACTCCCTCGCCTCAGTATGTCCCGGTATCCTCAATGACAAGATGCACGTATGGCTATGGCTTTACACAGTGGATGCGGTGCAGATGATAGCAAACTTTGCTGGAAGATGGTTCATCGAAGGTGGAAAGGATTCATATCGGTTCAATCGTTTCATATGGTGGGCTCATAAGGACAATCAATTGCAATTTCCCCTTGGCCATGAGGAAACCTTGGTATATACAAGCCGTCAAGTCATTGGGTAGTATTGCCTCGTCATAATGACACCTGGGTACCACCCCCAAGCGATAGACAAAGCATTTGGTTATCGGATATCTAATACAATTACCTCTTTGATAAACATACATCATTGTAATCTCGCCAAGACATCAAATATATGGTTTGCATGGATAATGGATGAGGATGGGAAGAGAAAAAGAACGTTGAAGCCGTCAAATTGGATGCTGTTTTCTGATAATGCATATGTTGGTGGTGAATTTCAAGGAGAAAGAGATAGGCGATGATGGTGCTTGTTGATGCGTATTATGGAGTGGATACTAGTGGCGCGTTCACATTGCACACAAGCTATTATTACTGTGAGAAAAGGGAAAAAAAGATATGAAGGTAAATACGAGGACACTTATCAATCCACTATAGGTACTACTTTGCTTGGTCAGTCACCTAGGAGGTGAGAAGAGTTAGGAAAAAAAGAGAAGATTTAGGAAAAAAGACTTAGCTTAGGCTGTCACCCATACGACGACAATACATTCCAACCCCCGATCGCACACATTCTGGATCCATCACGCAAGACGTGGACGATCATTGTATGGTGATGAAGTAACAAGGTGGTTGCATCCAATGCATCAGCCAATCAAAAATGACTTCTATCGTTCCTTCTCCCCGGATGCTGACCGGCTTACTATATTAGTCAAAGGTGGATGGACACCAAACCGTTTCCGTTTGCTTGTTTCCCACCCGAAGTTAATAGCGTCATAGGAACCTGCTGTCAATAGAGTGCACCTGCATGACACCTACCCTATATAAAGGGCTGAATTCACCGTGTAATTCGAATGCTTTATTGTCACCATGTATCCGATATCCACTCCTTATGGCTCTTTTCCAACTACTACCGCCACCACCAATGCTATCACAGCGCTAGATGCCACTGCTGCCCATCTTACCTTGCCAAATATTGTTCAAGACAATTCCCCCATTTCGGAACTTCCTTGCGTATCTGCTACCGTTCAGCAATCAACAACTCAATCAAGGATATTGCCAACACCAGAAGAGCTTGATTGCTATGTGGTGGCTCACGTGACCCAGGTCGTAAAGCAACATTGCATACACCAAGGTGGGCTTGAGAATACTGAGCTTGTATTTCAAATCACATCTTGGACGATCAACTCTATCACGGATGATCATTTTCTTCGTAAATATTACTACTTGCTTGTCATCCACCAGCTATATACCCATTACAAGCAGGGCGATGACTTGCCCCAGATTTCCTCACCAACGGAAATCACAACGCCGCCGCTATCAACATCATCAACATCCTCGCAGTTATCAGAAGCTGCATCATCGCCATTCACTTGCAGTGATGTCTCCAGTAATAATGGGAGTATACCAAGGACGGCATGTGACTATTGCCAGCGTACTTTTTCAAGAAAAGATGCATTAAGACGCCATCTCAAGCGAACGTGCACGTACACCAAAGAGCATACCTCCCTGCATGTTTTCTCAGTGGCAGATTAAAAAAAATGATCTATTTCAAGCATACCCTGCATCATTGTCGATCCCTTTTTGATGTCTTCATTGTTTTATTTCCGATACCATCTATGTGCACCATCCCAATTTATGAGCGGCAGACTTATGCAGGTTCATTCATTTCCTATAAGCTGACCTCCTAAAAATGATGCGTTCTCTCATTGTTGTATTATGCCTCATGTCCAGTTTTTATTAAAGAAGGTCCTCGCTTGCTGACCACTATGCGGATGTATAGAAACGGGTTATCATTCAATGTATGTAAAATAACCTCCATAAAGCCACCTGATGGATCGAATACCAAGGACACAATGACGAAAGCAACAAGAAGGCATATGCGATTTTATTGTTTGTGGGTGTATGTAGCTAACTATAGAAATGATATGGAGGTGATGGCTCAATGCAAGCAAAAGAAAGAGGGATCGACCTAGAAGTTGGATAGGGATGTTTATCAGGGTGCAGTAGTAGAAGATGTGTCTATGACAAGTGATCCAAAAATAGGGTGCATGTGGAGGTGTGGAGGATGATTTGGTGCCTGAATGGTGGGATGATCCGCCTTCGCCGCCTCTCCCAGGATGACGCATATTGTGACAGGGTTTTGGCACAAGGCCGGGCTCTATCAACAATCTTCCTCAACCTCTTTCTCCCTCCTCCCTCCCCACTCAATTTGACGATGTCTCTTACCCTCAAGAACTTTGTCCAAAACTCCAAGGTCCTCAGCGGTTTGTTTGCTCCTGCTGCTCAATTCTACGCCAACGCTGCTGGTTACAGACAAATCGGTACGTCCATTGAAGAAAAAAAATATACATACACAACACCCATCGATAAGCAAACTCAATGAACCCACCCCATAGGTCTTCGTTATGACGATTTGATTTCCGAGGAGAACGAACTTGTTCAAGAAGCTCTTCGTCGTCTTGAGATTGCCGAGCCTCGCGAAATGTACGACCGTGCTTATCGTATCCGTGTTGCCCAACAGTGCTCTTTGACCCACTCTCTTCTCCCCAAGAACCAATGGGTCACTGCTGAAACTGTAAGTATTATCATCAACAAGGGGATATGACATGTGTATTGATATGGTTGCTGTTATCTAGGACAAGAGATACCTTCGACCTTACATTGATGAAGTTGCCGCCGAGTTTGCTGAACGTGGTGATTTCGACAACATCAAGGTCACTCCCCGTCATTAAATTCACATAGATCCCCGCTTCAAGTCGATTCTAATTTACACAACATTTACAACAAAGAGCTTTTTGTATCAACATGGGTCATCATCACCATCATCATCATCATTCTATATTCAGCAGTGTTTGGTTTATGAGATTTTTATGTTACATGGTATACGAGAAAGAGAAATAGCAAGTGAGAGAGCGAGTTAAAGGGGTCTGTGTGTGCGTGTGTGTGCGGAAAGAGGGATAGAAAGGGCAAAGAAAAAGAAAATACAAGACAAATGATACATCATCACTCGTTGGATGGGGAGGATTGAGTCTCTACAATGGTGGTAAGAGCAACAGCAGCAGCGGATGAGGTAGCACGTTGACGACGTAATGAGCGAGAAGGAGATGTTGTTGTTGTTGATGTCTTTGAAGTAGCAGCAGCGGATGAGTTAGCACGATGACGACGTAGTGAAAGGGAAGGAGATGTTGTAGTTGTAGTAGGACTTGAAGCAGCAGCGTATTCAATCTTGATTTGTCGTAATCGATCGACTTTGGATTGTATTTCCTCGACCGTGAATTTAGATTTATCAAATTTCCACTCGTACCATGCAACAATCTCACCCGTACGTCTGCTCAACTTTTTTAATGCAATGGTACGTGTTGCTGCAGCTTCTGGATTATCCATAGCAGAGGGTGGTGGTAATTCATCTGGTAAACGTGGTTTGACAATGATACGAGGCTCAGGTGCACATTTGGGATTATTGATCATGCATTCATCCACTGGTAAATCAAGCGCCAAACGAATCCATTCATGACCAAGATAACGTTCTTTGAGTCGTTTGCTTTGGATTTGCAATTTAACCTTGGTCAAGGCACGAGCTAAGGGTGTTGTTTCTGCACTTGTGTCCTCAGCTGCTTGCTGTTCACGGAGTGCGGCGGTGGCGGCAGGGATCAAATCCGATAGCGTTGTAGAAGGGCAACGTGATAATCGTCGATGGAGCTTGTTGATGTGTTTGCTACCACTCGTGTTGCTACCATGGTTGCTAGGTGTTGTTGTCTTCTTTTCCTCATGACCACCACCACCGCCATCATGGCGAGCCGTTGCTGATGGAGGAGTTGCATCCACCACCGGAGGTTGAGGTGGATCGTTAAGAACAGTAGTAGTGGTAGTAGTGACAACACAAGTGCTCATAAGTCTGACAGTACACTTGAAAAAGACAACGGGAAAAAGAGAGGGAAAAAAAGGAGAAAACGAGAGCCAGCTGCATATTGAGTTGTTCGAAAAGTTTTGAATGACTGGTGGCACGATGAGTTGTTGAGTGGAACCATCTCAATGTGTCACACGTCTTACTAGCCTTATCACAAGGCTTTTTCTCTTTTCATTCTTGAATCTCTGGAATCCCCGCCGATAGGTTGGAAGATCAAATTTATTTCTTAGTTACCATCTTCATCTACACAAAACATTGAGATCCATGCGTACCACATGTAACACGGGTACATGTACATAACATGTATCGTGCATACAACATCATCCCTCGTCATTATAGTAACATCACGTCTAATGCATGCACGGTGTTGATACCATGTTTGGTTTCCCTGCTCCTTTATGTGATCTTGTCTTTGTATGTAGGAATGAGCTGATTTTATTCATTTGTATATATTATCTCCTTCTCTCTCTTTCTTCTTATACATCACGTTCATAGAACAACATATAAGCTTCGCATGACAACACGGTGTCAATGTCTACCTCGTCTATAGCATCATCGCTGCATCGCCAAAATGTGGATGTTTCTGGTACGGGGGAATGATGATCGTCGTTGGTGAATGGTTTTCGTACATCATGACCAGTGGGTAGCTTTTTGCGTCTGTATGTGATAAAATGACCTGATTCATGACCGCCATAGTGGACAATGACAGCATTGAGACGATAAGGAATCGAACGTACAGCTGGCAAGGATAATGAAGGCAAGGCGTTTTGAACGAGATCGCTGTTATCCTTTGATGAGCCGAGTGCCACATTCAAGCCATCACGTCCGTGCACGAAACGATTGCCAGCAGCCATATTGCGGAGATAAACTAGGCTCGTGCGTGAAGTGCGTGCTTGAGGAGAAATGGGTGCGGGGGGACTGCTGAGTGATTGAGCAGGATCAGCTGTGTTGAGAAATCCATTCGTTGTATAGGGTGCCATATCCAAGTATTCAGGGAATCTCACGGTGCAATGGTTCTTTTGTACAATGCCGGAAGGATGATACACCGATCGTGACAAATGGAAACATAATGATTTTGGTGGATTGGCGAACATGGTCTGCTTTGTGGTGCATGACGTAGTTGAAGGATTCACCAATGGAATGCCAGGCTATGGATAATCAAAAGGTGAGTAAGAGGAAAAATCGTATTCATCATTATCACCATCATCACTCACCAAAGGTGCCTCCACATTGTATCTCAAAGCATCCTTGAGCACTTGGATCTTACCAGCATGCTCAGCCTTTTCTTCATCAGAGTAACCTGCCATTTTGCCTTGTTCTTGTTGAAGCGCCTCCAGGGTCGCTAGGAGCATGCATTTGCGACATCGGAAATCGGTCAGCATATCCACCTTGGTGTATGTATCAATGCAATTTTGAAGTGTGCAGCTCAACTATTTTCATACATAGATATCAATGCCAATGCGATCATGGTAATAGCAATAACCCCAATGGAGCCATACCGTTTGTGGAATCGTCAGGGATATATTGTCAAATGTATTGTGTCGGATAGGTGCCTGTTTAAAGCATGATAAGTGCCCATGTCTATTATCTTCCTCTTTCACATACCGTATATCCACATTTCATGCAACTAATCTTGGTAGCTGACAAGCCTGTAAAAGGATTTCGTGGACGTCGTGGTCTATGTCGTAAGTGGCCACCAACCGAGGATACGGAAAACGAACTCCACATGGATCCCATGGTGCCGACCGAGGATACTGAAGCTGTCTCGAGATTATCAAGTGCCACCGGTGATGCACATCCGGAATCCTTGATAGGTATGTGAGTGAATCAAAAGGATGAAAAAAGTCTACCACATTGATTACTTACATGTTCCCCCGTCATCTTTCGTAGAGTCCCAGCATCCAAAAGAGACGACGGCTCTTCCCGGTATTGGATTTCCTCTTCCGAAGAGAGAGCATGTGATATAATTTGGAAAAGCTCCTGAGCATCCTGTATAGAACAGCTTAATACAAATGCAAATCGTCATATGATTTTCTTTACCTGTTGTTCACGATTGATAGTGCCATTGGTCTTGCGTTCCAGTGCATGAAGCAAATCCGTAGGTGCCATTGATCGGGGTCGACTCAATGGTTTGTTGAGTTCTATGTAAAGGCCATTTTTAGCATGATACAAATAGACCTGTAGTTCTTGACTCACGTTCAATCGTAGTGTACAATGCATACGCCACGGATTGTAAAACATACTCGTTGCTTGATAATTCCAATGTATCCAATTCATCGCCTCGTTCATCCACACGCTCTGCCTAAAGACATGGGTGAATAAGCATAAACATGTAGCATGGAAAAACACATACCAGGTAGGATCGAAGTGAAGCCAATGTAGCAAGAGCCTATGTAAATAGCACATGTTGTTGAATAAACCCAACGCTTGCTTAATATAGCCAAGCTGAAACATACTTGAAGTACAGAGTTAATGAAGCAAGAGTTGCCGGTATTGATCAGCCCCGTAATGTATTTGGCATCTCGCTCTATGGTTGAAGCCTTCGTTAGATGCCCATCGGTAAGAGCCATGGCTGTTGTTGATATACACACCTTTGAGGATCTTTGACCTGATTCGTTTCCGTCTCCTTCTCGATTCAGCGCTGCTGCTTGATAATGCATAACCGGACGCAGCAATGGCAATGCCAGCCATAGCAGCCAAGGCCGGAATGTGATAGTTTGAGGACGATGCCATTGAGCAAAAAGGCGACAAGAGAAGTTGTCCAAGACGACAAGTAGTTGGTGGTGGGGGTTGCCAATAAGTGTAGTGAGAAAGAAGAACCGCGAGAAAAAGAAAGCAATTACCCATTTCGAGGAGGGCGGTTCTACAATTGATTCACACCCACACACACACCTCACAAACAACCATAGACCACACACATGCCCTTTAGGATATAAGCCCATCATTTCCATAGTATACCTTTGCAGCATTAAAGTACATTCAAAAGACCTTTATCCACTAGCCACTACATCTTGTTGGATATAAATCATTCCCCTCCAGCTCAAACGCTACCCGATCCATGTCAGCCCAAAAAAAGGTTGCTTGACATCCTAGATAAAATGAGATGGTATTTCTCCTCTAATATTGATTCATTCATTATCTTCTATGGCGTTAAACAATTGCCAACAAGCACCACTAAAGGAGCCACTTGTATCGCTCCGTTGCTTTAATGCCGAGTGACGAATTATATACCCGCCGTCAAAAGTACAAGTAGGCTATAGTGTTGTATGAGCCATCAGCAGCCTACATATGACTTTACAAATATATACATATATACATTTTGGTGTTGCGTTGCTTGCCAAATATGAGATCACGTGCAACCACACCCTTTACAAAAAGTGATGTAGACAGCATGACTACGCTACGTTGGATGTCTCATTCCATGATAGATGTTGCCACTTCCTGCCTATCATAATTTGGCTGATTCATAATCACGCCGTCTAGTGGACTCCTTGAAAGAGTACCGACCCCCATCATTCTGATGTAAACGTCTCCACCCATTTTACCCACCTATACACCACCATCCCAATCAGCATTGACTACCGTTTCTTTCCTGTGAGCACAGAAATCACACACCTATGTGCATAAAAAAGATGTCTTCTTCCATACGCCATGCATCTCGATCGCTTTTTCTTTTGACACCAAGTGTCGATACATCTCATGGTGCATAGCCCCTTTTATGCAATCATGTGGCTCCTATACGGTAGTCTCTTTCATATTTCCCTTCCTTTCATGATCATCATTGTTGCCGTCATTATGAAGTTTGGCTCTTTCAATGAGGAGAAAACTAATATTATGGCTCAATATTGAACCTCATGATCACAGATACATTGCATTTCTTTCAAATGCCATGTTGCATTGAGTTTCAAATCCGAGCTCGAAATTTACCCAACTGCTGTGCTGGTGTTTTATCACGCCGATGTCGTTGAGAGCTGTGTGGCCAGGAACATTAGACTTGCATACTATGTTTATCTTTAAAGGTGCCATTAACTTCCATTTTTGAAACGTGCACTCACACAAACATCTTTGAGAAATGTCTTATTCTTGGAATTTGAACACACACCAAGTGGTTCGTGATAGCCGAGGGATGTTGGATATTGTCACCTTGTTTAATTTAGATCCTGATTTATGCATACGTAGACAATCAATCACCCCAAAAGCTCTTTGTAAAGGCCCTCCATCAATCAATCAGCTCATCAGTCCCTCCTTTTTGTGATCACAGAAATACCCACGCCCGCCATCATGCACATAAAAGATGTTGTCACCCATCATTTTACTTCCACTCATCTCTTCTTGTCTTTCCTTTCGTTATTGATGACACTCCTCAAACCCCAAGTCGATGTGAGTATGCCATTGTGGACAATCCATGCTGTGAGCGACTCATGTAGTACTAACATTTGTGGTGATCTTTAGCGTTTCATTGTTATCCTACTTCCATTGTCATTGCGATAATTGCCTCTCTTTTTAAGGTAAAACGTAAATCATATCGCTTTATGAGGAAGTCTATGCTCAGAATCCTTTTTGAAGTAGTTACCTTCCGAGATGAATCGTGGCATCCACTGGGGAACACAACCCGATCAATGAGAATGACAATGCGCCTATCATGGCTGCTGCAAGCTTATATGATGCATCCTCTCCCGAGCGGGATCGGGTGATACGTTCTCTTTGGTCTGCATGGGGTTGATATAGCAGCTCCCTTGGAGGAACCAAGCATTCAAGAGATGCCAGCCTTAGGGGATGTCCTGCTGTTGGCGATGGAGGCACAAATGACAAGAGAAAAACAGATGTCTTTGGTGAAGAACTCCTTCACAAAATCAGCGTCAAACATCGAGAAGATCCCGCCAAGGCATGCCAAAGCCAGCAAGGAGGATTACATGGTTGTCTTAGACGTTATCACGTTAATAGAGGAGAAGGCCATGTCGCCAAAGCAAGCGAAACTCCAGCTTCTTACGCTTGCTGCATACATGGATCCATTGAAGGCATTGCTGCTTTGTAAGTAAATAGAACGAATAGCTTTTTGGAAGAGTACTCATATTCATATTCTCCTTTTTGTATTTTATAGGTTGACGAAGTTGCCGTTGAATCCTATTGCAGACAAGGGGAAATTGGGGGAAGTGGATATACAAACCAGTTATTACGAACCTTCGCTATCATCTATGTTGGCGGATACAACAAAGAAAGTCGTATTGAGCTGGCCCATTAAAATAAGACTTGATGCAATTGTCCAACCTTGGTGCAATTGAGTTTCGGACATCCACTTGGCTACGGCGAAGTCAAGCCTGGCGACAGCACCACTATCACACAATCACTTTGCATCGACGCTTTGAAGCTCGCAGTATTGTCAAGGAATGCGTGTTTGAAAATGGCCACCCATCCTTGCTTATCAAGTGAATGGTAAGAACAAGTATACAGGAATTTCATGACTCTAACATCCCTTCTTTTTAGGCTTCCAACTCGTGTTCTACATGGCACAAAAAAAAATACACCATGGGTTCTTTACCATGGTTGAAATCGGGCGGGCCACAGTTGCAGATTCATTATCATCCTTGCATTCTTTTGTGACGTTTCAAGAATCTTCGTGTATTGCTAAAAGTGACCCAGGTGTTCTGGCATCGCTGCTTTCCCCTTATTGCTTCGGCTCCAAGACTCCACCTTCCTCCCAACAACTCAACCTCCAGCCCTGGAATCACAAAGCTCTACAGCTACATCGACAAGACAAGCAACAAACAAAGGGATCGTAGCATTTATTAGTATTCCCATTTCTTTGAACCCTTCCTCTTGTTCCTCTTTTTCTTCTCATCAAATTGCTCTTGCTCTAATTTTTCTATATAAAAGGGAGGGATCGATATTAAATTCCATTCTCATTCCATATTTGAACAACCCCTTTTTCGCTTACCTAATGCACGTCTTGCAGATGATTGTGGAAAATTCATCATCTAACGTCATCATACATGTTACACACGCTGCATACTATGCATCACCCCTCCTGTCATCCTTACATTGTAATAATCAGGTGCCAATTCCAACAGCCATTCGGGCTTGACTTCGGTACAATTCCGGATATAGTTGCGTGTCGTAAGAACAAACTCATGGAAAATGACCCATTTGGGCTTATGTGCGAGTCCTGATGATGGATGCATCGTCACGATTTGATTGTCCATAATCGTTGCATAGCGTCCCGAACGTTCTAGATGTGCCACCTGCATGAAGAATCCAGTAGCCAAAGCTTTGCGAATGCTTGAAAACCTTTTGGGTGAGGACAACAGCTTAAGCTTGTGATATTGCATCGCTCGGCCTAATTGGTTCCGCACATTGTCAGCCGATTTGAGCGCTCGATAGTTGAGGAAGTTTTGCCAACACCATTCGGGATCCTCGTTGTCTAAGACCACAAATTAGACTACATGCTATGAGACATGTCCTTTTAAACTCACTCTTTTTATACGCCCGATAAGCATTGAGAAGGGTGATATGATCGCTCTCTGGTAATACAAACTTGAGCTTTGCTGCATCGGCTTGTTTCCTTGCTTCATGAGGACGCACAAAGATTTGAGGTACTATGTAAAACAAGCCGTGTCAATTGCAAAAGCCTTATCCAATCAACCATACACGGCACATACCTGATAGCAAAGATACGATTGATAATATCTCATCCGAGCATCCATGTTTTGGACTTTCAATGAGCACCTTGCATAATTGAGGATCAAGAGGGAAGAGTGACATGAGAGCACCGGTGGGTGTAAGGGCACTTGTATCATCGAGGGCACCAAGGAAATGTAACAACTCGAGGGCACGCATAAGGGTTTCTGGTGCTGGTGGATCCATGAAATCAAAATGCACAAGGTCGTTGATACCCAATTTCTTGAGCTGCAAGACAACAGTGGCCATGTTGCTACGCATAATCTCTGGATACGTTTGCTCAATGAGCTCTTTGTGAAACGACTCTTCCGTATAAAGGCGGAATGCTTTGCCAGGTCTTGTACGTCCTGCACGTCCTGCACGCTGCTGAGCGCTTGCTTTGGATACGGGTGATACAAGTAACGATTCCACTCGAATGCGAGGATTGTATACTTTTTGCTTGGCGAATCCAGGATCAATGACATAGACGATACCATCGATGGTGAGTGACGTCTCTGCAATGTTGGTTGCCACAACCACTTTTCTTCCAGGTGGACCATTCTCACGACGTGGTGGTGGAGCATCATCAAAAATACGTTGTTGTGCTGAGGGTGAAAGTGTAGAATACAATGGTAGCACCTTGATTGGGCCACATTCAACCCGTCGCATCTCATTATTGATCTCGAATTTGATCTCTCGACATGCTTGCTCGATCTCTTCCTCGCCTGTCAAAAATAGCAAGATGTCGCCAGCTGCCTCAGTCAAGTGAATTTGTACAACGGTGCGAATGGCTGCTTCCAGATAATCGGGTTCAGGCTGTGGTGTGTAAAAGATCTCGACAGGATATGTCCTTCCAGGCACTGACTAGAGGAGTAGATGACCTTAGCTGATTGCTACTTGATCCTTTAAAAGAGGAGCTTACCAATAGCGGTGCGTCATTAAAGTACTTTTGAAACTTGTTGGCATCAAGGGTGGCTGACATGATGATCACTTGTAAATCTTTCCTCCTTCTGCAGATCTATAATATGCAAGAAGCATGCCTCTTGTTAGTTATCATCACCCTATCTCAATTTTCACCCTTCCTATTACCTGCTTCAATAAACCCATAAGGATATCGGTATTAAGAGTGCGTTCATGAGCCTCGTCAAGAATGATGGTGGAATAGCGAGATAAATCGGGGTCTGTCATGGCTTCCCGCAGCAACATGCCATCTGTCATGTACTTAAGGAAAGTGTTGGGGCTGGTATGATCCTCAAATCGAATACAATAGCCGACTTGTTGTCCAAATTCAACATCCATTTCATCTGCCACACGCTGCGCAACTGACATGGCTGCTACTCGTCGTGGTTGTGTGCATGCAATTTGTTTCCCTTTGAGCTGCGGCAATTCGTCGTACACCAAGAACTGCGGGATTCTACATCCACCGGTGTTACCATGACATCCATCACCATCCATCATCATTGATATCTTACTGCGTCGTCTTGCCGGATCCAGTCTCGCCCACCAAAACAACAAATTGATGAGAGTGAACCATCGAAAGAAATTGTTCTCGATACTTGTGCACAGGCAATTGTCGTCGCGTCTCAAGAATCGTCTTGTACCGATCGCTGAATGGCTTCTTGGTGAATGGGTTGTCGACTCCATTTTCAAGTTGCTCGGCTTGCTTTGCTGTTGTCTTTCGTGAAATCAGCCCGTAAAAGTCATCCTTGATCGTGAGCTTGGATAAACCCAGATCGTCCCCGTGCTCATGCATTCGATTGTAAAAGGTAAAGGAAGAGGGAAAAGGAACGTGCAGCAGTCGGGAATCAAGCACCCTTTCAATGTACCCTTCTGAGTTTGGACTTAACGAGCATAAAGTGCATTGATGTTGTGATCAAGAAGCTTGGGATCTTTGTGACCCGTGACCAATGCCCATTCCTTAGCAATCTTCTAGTATCAATGACTACAATAAACGATCATCACGCAATACGCAGAACCTAATCACTCAATTTCAGTGAGAGAGGATCCCTCTTCCCCCCCCCTCCAGGATGATTGACGAGCACTATCATTAAAACCTTCGTAGCTTTATTCGATGTATGTTGATTTGAGGGCGCATTGATTGGGTAGTGTATCACTACTATCAAGGCACTTCATATAGTAACAAGAATATGTATGAGATGACGCCTTCGTATGCTGTTTGCGGTGCTTACGGTCATGAAAGGTAATAAAGTAAGCGAATGTCGTAAAACAATGAACCACAGCTGACGTTCTCTTTGTCGGGTCCGGCTATTTGCACCTCCTTTACACCATCCTTTTATGGACTCAAATGGGACAATAAATCAATTTTGGCACACAAACGACAATTGTTTTAGCGACACCATGATCTCGCTCTTCTTTTTTATATCATCTTCTTCATATTCAAGATGCCAAGTCTACAACACTGTGCGTTTAGCACTTGAGCTTTCCATATTCATTACTCATCTACCTTGAGTATCCAATCCAATTGCACCACCAAGACACTTTGTGCAGCGGCCCCACCCATTTATCAGCTCATCACCACCATTCCCAGCAAGCGTTTTATCACTCTTTGCTGCTTGATTGTGATCAGAGTAATACCCACGCCCACCAAGCAGATATAAACAAGATGAATGTTGTCGCCCATCACTTTACCCCCACACATCTCTTTCTTTCCATCATATCACTCTTTGATTCCTGACATCTTCAAAAGCCCTTGGTAAGTGCCATCGTGGATTGTCCTCTTTGTGAAGGATCCATGTACTCATATTTGTGATGGTCTTTAGTCTTTCGTTGTTATCCTACTTTCATTGTCTTTGTCGTCATTGTGATATTTGGCTCTTTTATCAAGGTAAATCCTAATCATCTTGCTTGATGAGACACACGCTCACATTCCTTTACGATATAGCTACCTACTCATCATCTGAAAAGCTGGATTAAGTGGCACGCCGCAGCCCGCATGGAGGTGATACAACCTTTTCCTTGCATCGCCTTTGATGCTGTAGTACGATGCAGACCCTTCCGCTCGAAGCCATTATGGAACCAACAAATGAATCGGAGCTAATCACGCGATATCTTCTTCCTGCCTTTCAAGCATTATTTGATGACGACAAAAGAAAAACGCTAATACGCTGGTGAGTTCCAATGAGTGGCCATTGCATTGCACGGTTGAATTAATTTTGTTTGGAAGGACTGCCACCCAATCCGTAGACACCAAGCAGTCATCGTCATCATCAAGCAGCCGGCCTGACTGCATTATATCCGTCTTGAAGAATAGCTATCCATACAAGAATGTTGGATTCGGCGAGGTGAAGTCGCCTTTTGAATCGGGCAATCACCATGCTGTCAACAAAGACTTGTATCGATTGGGCCTATTCTGCAAGACAGCTATCAATGATGCGGGCTTGAGAGCTTGTTTGGCCTTGCATGCGGTTGGTAAGTACATAGCAAGATACCTATTACATCATTGAACTAACCTGTTTGCGTAGGTTTAAAGCCGCATACTTTTTACTTTGGCACTGCAAGCGAATGGCTTCTACACACTGATGACAGAGGTTTGCCGTCTCAGTATGCCTCCTTCTGTTGAAGATATGCCTGCCTATACGACAAATTGCAACGATTGATATGGGAGTATTGGCTCATTACATATTATACACACGCATTCAATGATGAAGAAGCCTCCCATTATGACAAAAACAATAAATTCTTATACACAGAGACATGTTCTTCAATATTGGTATGGGGGCCCAAATGTTGGTTGTACAGGTTGAGGCGTGGTCAAGTGGAGCAAGATCCTCCATTCACGCTTGGTTGCCATGGCGATCCTAGGCTCAGGTTATTGTTTATGCGTGTTCCTTTTATGTAGAAATACAAAAGAACAAAAGTATCTCGATACAATGATGTAAATGATGCCATCTTGCTTTCCGACCATCCCCTTTCAATCCAAAAACCAACCAAGTGATCCATATACTTTCACACATGAGCTGATAGCACGATACTCTAGGTATTATGTTTAATCCAGTGTTTATTCGATTGAAGACATGGTAAGCAAGGATATTTATCAAGCAACTATGATATAGATAAAGGAACACCATTGCATATTGAATAAGATACGGGGGATCACATAGAGGTAATAGAGAAGAATGTGTCATTGTATTCTTGGTTGTTACCGTCATAAGCATCTTCATCCATGATTGCAAAATAGCTGCTGTATACATTGACTTCAGTATCCCAACATCATCCATGGCTGTAAAACAACTTCTTTCGTCAAAGATAAAAGCCCTCTCGACAATCCGATCCAATTCATCATCATTCTCAGCCGTATCCACGTGACCATTCCTGCTGACAGCGCGACAAGTAACCAAAGCATCATTCCAAGATATCTTAGCACTGCACTTGATTGCATCCATCCATCAAATCCAATATGTTGGTTGAAAAAGGCCATGTGATCGCTGCTGGTATGCTTGCTTTTCGATCCGGTTGCTGGTCTACCTCTTTCTTGGTCGTTGTCTATCGCAGCTCAATCAGGTGAGGATTGCTTGTGTTGCTGCGTGCTTGATAGCTGATATGGCATCATCCATTAGAATCCGTGTATGCACCAAAACAAGTTGTTGCACGTAAAAAAGGTTGCTTCTATACAATGGCTATCTGCTGTCCACGCAAAAAAGGCTATAAGGCAAGTTGGCTGCAAGTAGAGAACGCTGTTTGAGCCTTGCTAACAGGAACAGCTGTTACGTTTCGTCGTGGCAGAGGAACGTGTAAGAGCGTGTGTTGTATAGGATGTCAAGGTTGTGAACGCTGTTTGAGACAATGGAGCGAACAGCAAGTGCTGGAATGAATGCTGTTACGTTTGGTCGTGGCAGAGGAGTGTGCAAGACAATGTGTAGCATCAAGGAAGGAGTGCGTTGTAGTAGAGTGACAAGAAGGCTGTGTACACGGGCCATGGACTTGCCATTCAGCCAAAGACAATCGGATCAAGGCAATTGTAGGATGGACATGATGGGTTGAGGCAAGGCAATCGTTCGCAGGTGGTAGTTGTATGTACTTGAATGGGGCAACAGTTGAGAATGGGAGGAAGAGCAAGACGCGGGAGGTGGAAGAAGTGGAAATTAAATAGTTCGGACACCTCTTGTATAAATGCATGAACACTGTACATCAATCCTTGATTATGATATTGCCCCTCTTCGAACCTGAAACTTTCACACAAGGTGCTCTTTAGCATGCTGATCAATGTTGTATTAAAAAAGAGATTATGTACATTTGAAAAATTGGGATGGGAGGGTGCAACGTGGGTTTACTATGTAAGTCGGCAATGGAGGTCAGCCCCGGATTCATGATTGATCGAAATAGTATGTATTAGCTTGGGATTCCCCATCTGTAACCTGAAACTTTGTCAGAAGGTTCGCTGGGACATGCTGATCAACTTCATTCATTAAAAAGTCGCAGGCTTCATTGTGAAGATTTAAAATGCGGGGCGACCCAAATGGTGGATGATGGGATCAAAAGAGCGGACAGCCCACCGCCCCGAAGTTGCCCACTTCCAACTTGAAAATTAGTCAGGATGGTGCTCCGAGCATGCTGATCCACTTTGTTCAAATAAAATCCTCACGCTTCATTTGAAAATTTGGAACGAGAGCGTCCAAAAGTTTGAAAGACGGAGACATTCGCAGGGTCTGTCTTTCAAGAATTGACACATTCTCTGTTTGGGTGTAGCTCAGTCAAATCAGCTCGGATCAAGCAACTTGAATGATGGAAATGATGGGCTGGAGCAGGAGAATCTTTCACATGCAATGGATTTTGCAACAACGCTGATTGTGAGGAAATGGCTGATAGCGTGCAATATATAGACTATTGTGGATAGTCATAAAGTATAATCCATCAATCCTTCCAGTCATGCAAGATAGCTGTGTTACATAAACACGTCCCTCTGCATCTTTTGCTCTGCCAGGGTCCACCTACTTGACAATGAACGAATACCACTCTTCATATAGCATCACGCTTACAAACATAAAGGTGCCTGTATCTCCAAACTTTACAATGAAACGTGGGTTTTGAATAGAGCAATGGGCTCGGCTTGGCCAACAGCACCTTGTGTGAAAGTTTCGCATTCAATGACGCAAACAGCCCAAAAAATATTTTTTTGCTCGTCGTCGTCGAAGAGGTCGACCCTCAGATCCAGTTTGGCTGGTAGCGACATTTGCGAAATCTGGGATTGGCAAGCTCGATCGTGAAACTTTCACACAAGGTGCTGTTGGCCAAGCCGAGCACATTGCTCTAATAAAAACCCCACGTTTCATTGTAAAGTTTGGAGATACAAGCACCTTTATGTTTGTAAGCGTGATGCTATATGAGAAGTGGTCTTTGTTCATTGCCAAGTAGCTAGACCCTGGAGAGCCAAAGATGCAGAAGGACCTCTTTGGGTAACTCAGCTAAAAAGTCAGGACTTCAGGGACAATGCATGAAAGGTACGCGACCCTCACTTTATGTCATACATTGGCAGCTGATAGCCACTTTTGTGCATTCCCAACTTTTGTGCATTCTATTGTAGGTGGACGATGCTCCTGCTCTAGACATTCATTTCCATGATTAAAGTAGGTTGATCCGAGTTGATTTGGTTGAGTTACACTCACACAAGATTACATCGGTTGAGCTACATCGAGCGTGCTCTATGTCCGGAGTGATGTAATCTCTCTTTGACCGTAGCTCAGTCAAATCAGCTAGGATCAACCTACTTTAATCATGGAAATGAATGTCTGGAGCAGGGGCATCGTTCCCATCCAGTGAATCACGCAACAATGATGATTGGATAAAAGTGGCCGTTAGCTAGCAATACATGCCTGTTCCTAGATGATCCATAAAGTAATTATACATTGGCCCTTCATTCATGCAAACGCAGCTGTGTTACACAACACGACCCTCTGCATCTTTTGCTCTGTCAGGGTCTAGCTACTTTACATTAAACAAAGACCACTTGTCATATAGCATCACGCTTACAAACATAAAGGTGCCTGTATCTCCAAACTTTACAATCGAACGTGGGGTTTTGAATAGAGCAATGGGCTCAGCTTGGCCAACAGCACCTTGTGTGAAAGTTTCACGTTCAATGTCGCAACTAGCCCAAAAAATATTTTTTGGTCGTCGCCGTCGAAGAGGTCGACCCCCAGATCCAGTTTGGCTGGTAGCGACATTGCGAAATCTGGGATCGCCCACGATGAACTTCATACTTTGACACAAGATTCCTTTGACCCCGGCAAGCACGTTGATCTATTAAGGAGCCCACGTTTGATTGTAAGATTCTGAGTTATGGGAGTCTTTATGTTTTCACTATGCTGTAAGCATGATGCTATATGAAGCGTGGTCTTTGTTCAGTGACAAGTAGCTAGACCCTGATAGAGCAAACGACGCAGACGCGCGCCCGGGCGTGTTTGTGTAACCCAGCCTATCATGCAACTCGAAAGGGCAATGCATAATACATAGTAACCCTTCATCAATTGGTAGTTGATAGTGATTTCCTCCCATTCACCTTTGTTTCCCAATCCACTGCGTAGGAACGATTCCCCTACTTTGGACATGCATGTCCATGAGTCAGTTACCTTGATCCGGGGGGATTTGACTGAGCAACGCTCAAACACAGAAGTATCATCCAATATCAGAAAATTTTATCTGGTTAGTTATACGTAAACTGCCACTTGATAGCCCATTCCTCCCAATCATCTTTGTTTCCCAATCCAATGCATGTGAACGATTGTCCTGCTCCAGCCCAGCATGCTCATCATCCAATTTCACAAAAATCATTTTGCAAAGTTATTTGTAAACTGCTGGTTGATAGCCCATTCTTTCCAATCATCTTCATTACCCAATCCAATGCATACAAACGATTGTCCTGCTCCAGCCGATCATCTCCATCCTTCAGCTTTCTTTATTCGAGTGGATTTGATTGAACAATGCTCAAACAAAGAAACATCATCCAACGTAAGAGAAATCTATTTAATTTCTACTTCTTCCACTCCTACAACTTCTTGTCTCTTCCTCCATTCTCAACTGTTGGCCCCATTCAAGTATACAACTACCACCTGCGAACGATTGTCCTGCTTCAACCCATCATGTCAATCCTACAACACTCTCGATCCGATTGTCTTTGACTGAATGGCAAATGCATGGAGTGCACACAACCTTCTTGTCACTCTTCTACAACACACGAGCCTCTTGACACAACACACGCTCTTGTACGATTCTCTGCCACAATCAAATGTAACAGCGTTCATTTTAGCAGTTGCTACTAGCAAGATCTTACTCCATTGTCTCAAACAGCGTTCTTTACTTGCAGCAACCTGCCTTGCAGTCTTTTTGTACGTGAACAGCAGACAACCGTTATATAGAAGCAGCTTTATTTACGTGTAGCAAGGTGCTTCAATGCATACGAATGATTGCTATGGAAATGGATCTGAATATTGCTTTGGCATGTGGGATGGAAGGGGATTGGATATATACAACGCGTGGAAGAGGGCATTGTCTACTTGGTCTTGATGCTTTCAACTTGGACGATTGGAGAATTACACACGCTATTCCATGGCAGCTACAATCATCATCTTTTGTGCAACATGTCAACCAAGTACAATCATCATCACCCAACTGCATATGCATGTAATTCACCATCACGCATCAAGTGCCACTTATTATCCATCTTAGCACAATGCACGCCCAAAGGATAGAAGATTTCCAAATCGATGTATATCTCCCATTAAAGTGATGCGCAAATCTATCTCTTGTGAATGATGTTGGATAACAGTAAAAGGTTACTTTAGCAAATACAGGTTACATTGACCAATCCTTCCCAAGACGCTATAGTGTAAGAGATCCTGAGTTGGACCTCGTCATGTGTGAGAACTTGTTGGATTGTACTATACAAAGATTTATGGTTCACCTGTGAATGATGTAATGAAGGAAATTAAGAAAAAGAAAAGGATTCATTGTGTCTTGAATAAAGGCTGTATTCGATTGCATGTAACTCACCTCCCTTTCTTTTGTATTAGAAGATCTTGTCAATAACATCATAGCAACGTTCCTTTTTTGGATTAAGATCTTCGAGTATTGTTATTACTATACACCGGGAGATACGCTTGACATCCTTAACAAATGGCATACCTCGCCACTCATCCACTCTTTAAGCTCGGCATCCTCGCTTGCCTGTTCAAGATCATCGCCCATCGCGTAGAACCTGATCATCACCATTGATCTCAGCTAGCTTTATTCGATGTATGTGATTTGAGAACTAATGTGGAGCATTAATTGGTTGATTGATCACCGCGTAGACACATGCATTATTAGGAAGTTCATCCACCAGTGCATAGTAACAACACTCAACCCAATTTTGCAGATGCAGTATATGTATTAGACGATGTCATCATATGTTATTTACGATGCTGATGGTAATGAAAGATAATAAGGTAAACGAGTTTCTTTGTATTGAAAATGTAGAACAATGAGTTAAGCAGCTGACGTTGACTGGGTTAAAGTGCCAAAACCGCACCCTGATTTTACTGCCCTCCTCTCTTTCACGACCCGCCTTTTGACAGACACACGTTAATGGACACGAACGAGGATCGGGAACAATACGTGTAAGTGCACTGACAGTGAGCATGTACAAAGAGTCTCTAATTGTTTATTCTATTGCAGGGAAGATCTATTGGCGTCTCTTCGAGAACAGATCGATGAGGAAAATGACAAAGAAAGGGAGCAGCAGCAACAGCAGCAAAGTGAAGTTGATAACGAAGCGACCGAGAATGACAACAATGAGCAGGCAGCAGAAGAAAGTGGATCGAGTATGCCGAATGGGTTATCAACGCCTGTAGACGTGGTGTCTTCCAACCAGCCCAAGAAGAAGAAGAAAAAGAAAAAGAAATCCAAGACAGCCAACCTTCCTGAAGCTGGCAGCGAGATCCCTGACAATTATCAAGAAAAGTACAACGAGGATGTGATCGATAATCCTTATGATCCGTAAGTCAACGTTGATATTACACACGTATATGGGATGGTACCTGATTGTGTTGTGGTCGTCGTCAATAGATCATTGCCTTTATCCCAGCGCGTCGAGTATGCTATTTGGAAGTACAAGAAGAATCACAAGTTTTCAGAGGGAAAGCGCGCCATCTTTGACAACTATTTGCGCTTTGGTGGTATTGAGACGGGTCCCAATGCATTTATGGGTCGTGCGACGGGTGGTGATCAAGATGCTGACGGTGAACCAGATTGGGATGCTGCCAAAATGAGCACAGCTATTGTTCCAGAGGATGATGAAGAACTCGAGGTCAACTTCACGGAGGTGGCTCAAGTCTATCTTGGCAACACTTTTGTACGCGAGAGTTTATTCATTGGACAACAAGATTTCATTGATGCACCTCTTTTGGTGGACGCATTTTTACGCTATCTCCAAATCCGGAACGTGTGTCCCGAATATGCCGATGATATCGCACGTGCACGTCAAGTCGTCGCTCAAGCCAAGATCGAACTTCCTCTATGCAAGAAGATCATGTCAGGATTACCAGGCGATTTCAGCAGAGCATGTGCTGTGTTATTTGGTGGTGGTATGCAATCAGCTTGGGCGTTTGAGGCAGCTTCATGGATGGGATCAACAAACAAGACAAAGAACATGTTTGACAAGTTTATGATGGATACATTTGGAGATGCCAAGGAACAAGATGAAGCAAAGGCCATGGTGTCGCCTGTTGTCAAGGATCCAGATCAGCGAAAGACGGTGGATCAACGTGAGAACCTCTTTGTCAAGCTCAAGGATATTGAACAATTGGATGCCAAGGCCCCAGATAATACTTTGGCCAAGGTTACTCTCGCCAACTATGAAGATGAAAACGATACCCTGGATATTTTGTTGGAGCATAGCACCACAAAGCACATGATGCCTGGAATGGTCATGACTGTCACCGTTTGCCAGTTGGATAATGGCTTTTGGTATTTGGATCGGGCCAATTGTGTGATGCCTTCCTTTTACATGTATGACGATTGTATGGATCCCGATGTCTTTTGCTACTCGTAACACAGCACATTTGATAAATCCCCTCCATTGTACTTTAAAAAATACTCAACAATGATTTGCTTTTTCCCCAATCCATCATCATGTTCTTGATTGCTAATACCATAATTCTTGTCTTTGGAGTCACAAAAAATGTTATTATGTACATAGTGTGTAGTTATTTGCTATAGAGTGCTTGTTCTATGGCACGTCCTACGTCCCAATCTGTGGCCTGCAATCGAGATTTTGCTTCATGTGCATCAAATAAACCATAATCGGTAAGGAAGGTCACCTTGCGTTCCTGAACCAGCTGAAGATAATGTTCGTACCATGCCTCCTCAATTCTGAAAGCCACCTCACGCTCTTTCGATCGATCAATTTGCTTGACACGGACACGGAAGCCACCACTAATAGGTCGATGATCGGAAGCAAGTACTTCATGACGTCGATAAAACAAATTTTCAGCATTCTTGGAACGGTACAAGATACGATCACACCATGCAGGCACACGTTTCTTTTCCGATCTATCATAATAATCTGTTCCTGGATCATATTTGTATGTGGGAAGAAAGTCGATGCGGCTTTCCTGGAATAAAAGTAACTTGAAGAGTGGGTTGACAATGCGTTGTTTGAGCAATTGATCCTCCTTTTGTAGATAGGCCAAAGCTTCATCTCGCTCCATATTTTGAATACAATCGATCACCTTGTCACGGTTCATGTTGATGCGGTAATTGAGATCACCCGACAAGAAACAGTGTTCATGATCCAGAATCATGCTGCCATCACCACCATTGGAAAACACGCCATTGTCATCGTCACGTGCACGAAAATCGGCTGATTGCAAGATCCCTTCAGCATCGGCATTACGTTGTTGCGTATGAGATTGGCCAGCTGCAAGATGGCAATTGACAAAGCAGAGTGATGCATCATCCAGCTGAAATCGAATAGCGATACCACCTTTGTTGCCATGGAGACTCTTGTTCATCACTTTCATACCGGTCTTGACAACGGCCGATTCCACATTCGACACACGCCGCAACTCACTCGATTTGACAAAGATACAGCTGAACAAGCCCACAAGTTGATCGGTCTTGATCACGGTATAATCAGCATGCTTGTAATTGTCGCGAATCACTTGCACCAAATGGTCATGCCATAACGTATATCGATGTGTCAAAAGCTCATCAGCTTCTTGTAAGGATTCGATCTTTTTGCGTGAGGCAAACAATGAACCTAATTACGTATGGAGGATGAGGACGATGATAATCGAAAAGGAAAAGAACACATTCAAACTTACGAGCTGTTTGTTTCTTGGATTCCAAATCAACAATTTCTTGTATGCCCACGACAATAATATCAGGATCCTGCATGCCTCGTAACCATTCACGCACCAACTTGTCGTCACTCGCTGTCAACTTTTCAGGCTTGTTGGCATCAATATTCCATGAACAAATAAGCACGCGTGTGTCTCGCTCTCGACAAAAGTCGCCTTGATACATTTGCATCTTTTGATCTATCATCAAATGAACGCTATTAATACCCTGTGTACCCACATATATTCATCCCTTCTTTTACCTTTCCAATATTCAGGCAATAAACCATCCCATAATGACATGTAACCATGTGAGTCCACACTAACCACCTGCGTAGTTTCATCCCCAATGGCCATTCCAATATCCTCAACGACGAGCTTGACAATAGCACTATCATGTGCTTTCCACATCTTGACGACTGTCCAACGTACAGGCCTTGTGTCGTATACGTAAATCATGCCCGTATTATAGCCCATCCATACATGATGCTCGCCCACAGCGACCATGGAAGTGATACCATACATGGAAACGGTGATGACTTCGAGACGTTCCAGGGTGTTGGCATCCCATACACTTGCTTTGCCATTGTCATGAGCAGCTACTACCTTGCCTACGTGATAGGGCACCGTAGCAAACTGAGTAATGTTGCCAAGATCATTGGGAATGCGTACACGTGGAATTTCATGCTCCTCCATGCCATCACGATACACCTCGATCGTACGTCCTGATGACATCCACAAGTGCCTTTCACGTGTCAACAAGGTTGCTGTAGTCCTTGGGGTGACTGTACGTTGATCTCTCAATCCAATCGAGTGTGCGTCCCATATACACAAGGTGCCTCCTTCATCCAATGTCCATATTTCAGTGTTGCGGTACCGCATAATGGCGGTGATGGTTTGATCATGGCGTGATTGGGGTCGAGTGACAATACGTCCAAGCGAAGTATCGATGATCATAAGCTCGCCTTCTTTGAGACCCACCCACAAAAAGGCACCTTCATCCTTGGGTAATGGTGTAGGTGCAAAGGCCAATGCATAAATCTTGTCGGCATTATCATTGGGCGCAGCGGAATCAATCGAGTACAAATGCTGATTCAAATCCGTATTCCAAAGCCGAGTCTCATGAGCACCCGTTGCCAAGTATCTTCCACATGCTGCTACTGCGCGAATGGTCCCACGATGTCCCGTATGGATCTTACGCTCACGACGAATAAATGGCTTTTTGCGAGAGGCGTTATTGAAATCAGGATACACTCCATTCACTTGTTGCATTTGAATCGCTTTGCGTGCACTGGTGGCTCGTGTGCTTTGTGATCGTCGTAATCGATTATCGTCCTCAGAAGGTTGAGATGATGATGTTGGTATGGGTGGGGCTTGCATGTGATGTTGATGGTGATGGTGATGATGGTATCCACCAATACCAGCTGCAGCAATGGTATGTGAACGTGCAAGCGTAGAAGTAGAAGGTCGTGGTGGTAGTACAGGAGCTGGTTCAGGTTGACTACGACTATAAAGAGTAGGACGTGGTGGTAAACTTGGAGGAGATATGGATACATTCGAATCAGTACAAGATTTGTTGTTGTTGTTGTTGCTATGATTGGATGAGGGTATACGAGCAGCGCTATGGTATTTCTTGCTAGGTGGTGGAGGTGGTGGTGGTGTTCGTGCATGAAATAGATGTAAGGATGATTGTCTGGGTGGTGGAGGTGGTTGCTGTGGTGGTTGCTGTGGAGATGGTTGCTGCTGTTGCTGTTGCTGTTCGTTACCACTACTTGTCAAGCTGATACCACTATCACTGGAATCCTGTGCTTCCTCTTCCTCTTCTTCACTATTATCACAGAATGGGTCCTGAGACGATGACGCTTGTTGAGTAGACGAGGATACATCTTGTCGTGAAGGTCGAGTTGTCAAATGGCCAAATTGATGAGTGAGCATAGAAACAGCAGCGGGAGCTTCTCCATGACTAGTTGTTGCAGCACGCACAGGCGGTTTGGGTGGAATACGAGGCCGAGTCGTTGTCGTTACCGAGGGTCGAGAATTCTGCAAAGGAGGGTCAACATAGGATGACACGACCATTGGATGTTGCTGTTGTGGTGCTGGTGGTGGTGATTTCGAAGCTGGCTTGACAGCAGCAGGAGGAGGCGGCGATGACTGATCGGGAGGACGAGTAGCTTCTTGTTGTTGAGCCCATCGTTTCTTCAACTCCTGAAATGAGACGGGCTGTGGATCATCCTCAGTAGTCATGCTGAATGGGCACCTTGTGATGAGAGGGAAGCGATAATAAGGGCGAGCCAAAAAAAGAAAACATAATGAACTATAGGCACCTCAATTTTTAGCCGAAGCAGCAAGAGCACATTCATCACAACGACAGCTATGTAGCACAAACGCATAACGTGCATCTCAACCTCCTTTGGTTTCATATCACAACTTTGTTAAATAAAGATCAATGCTCTGTGTGTGTGTGTGATTTGTACCTGGATTTGGGTCGTGTAAATCAATGCAGCTTTGTTGTTTCACCTGCATTGGATCACGTACATGTAAATGCAAGTCTCTTTATGCTTATCATCATCATCATATCAACATTATCTTTGTACGTAACACCACGTGTATTATTACCCCTTGTTTCTGGAAAAACTTTGGCAGCAGCCCAGCTACATTACTTGACTAAAATAAATCGCATGCACAAGGGAGCAGCATCCAAACTTAAATTCATGCACATTCTTGCACGTCTTCTTGTACATAGTGCGTAGTAGTAGATGTCAGGCAGTGCATGTGAATGGCTCGCCAAAACACAATGCATCTTCTTGTTTTACACCCGAATTGCTATGTAATGCCCGCCAGCAGCACAAACCCCTTATGTCCATGATGGAATTGAGCACTTATATTGTTACCATGCATCTTGTATTAGATGATAGAATACGCTAATCAGCCGTCTACGTAGGCTTTCTTTGTTTTGGTAAAAGCTGGTTGCATATCAATTCCTTGGACCTGAATGTATACCAATTCCTTTGCAGAGACCTGTTTAATAGAGATTGGTGGGCGCTAGGATACGTCGATGATAACCAAGAGTATGAGGGACTCAGCACATAGCTCGGTCAATGTCTCAAACGGGCTACATACTGAATGCTCCACCACCTAATTACAGGCTTTATCCCCCTCAACATGACATAGGGTCGATATCAATAACAAACTTTGAGATGAAGGAATATAAACATTTTACTTTTCTCTAAGATTGGATCTCTTTAACTTTAGACTTGATGAGCTCATCAATAACCTTGTTGTGTTTGTCAGTCATTGTTTGAACCTAGATTCATTGTGTAAGCAGAAGCACGTGGCATTAACATTTCCAAACTACTTGCCAATTTTTCTAATTTCTTGATCTCATCAGCAGGTGCAGATTTGGCGTCTTGTTTTAATTGCTTCATGCCATCTTGGCGGATATTGCGGATCTTGGATTTCATTTGTTCACTCATTTGGCTTACAACCTTGCTCATCTTGTCACGTGTCTCCTTGGTGGCTCTACACACACACACAAAATGATGTCAATACACCTTGTATCCTTGTTGATTGGGAATACGTACTTTGGTATAGGAATGCGAATCATTTCGTTTTCGACGACAGGGTTCAAATTGAGGCCTGCTTCACGGATGCTCTTGTCAACTGCCGAGCGAAACTATACGTCCATTGTTAGCAACATCCTTGAGGTTTGAAAGCAACAAACAACACCACCCATGCAACCTCCCACCCCCAACATCCATTCAACTATACCAACCTCGGCGTCATGTACAGCGACAAGCAATGTTTGTGGATCACGGATGCTTACTTGAGCAAGATCACGCAATGCATAGCTGGAACCTTCAATACGAACACGCACATGATCGAGAACAGCTATTGTCATCCATTGAGAAACCCGTGCGGCATGTTATTAACAAACAATCATCCATCCGATTTCTTTGTTTTGTGTATCACATACCAGGATTAGCACGGCCTACACGCAACGTGCTAAACTGCTCTTTGAGTGAAGCAATAGTGCCATCCATACGGTCTTGTAACTTGCTTTGGTCAAAGACTCGCACAACTTCGCTGTCAGAAGAAGAGGATGCTGCTGCCGCTGCTGCTGCTTGTTTTTTGCTTTTTTTTGCATACGATCGGATCTGCATGGCAGGCGTGAATGGTCGACATGCAGCTACTGTAAAGGATCGTGGAATGAAACGACTGGCCATGGTGTTCAATGGAGTAGGGATCTGGAAGAGAAAAACTTTCAAAGCGAGAGAGAGAGGAGACTGAGACATTAGGTACCGAAATCATTCCTGCTATTGTTGCTGGGTTGGCTGCTGCTGCTGCTAGTAGTACTACTGGTTTCCTAAAATATATGGGTGTCTTGTTTTTTACGTTGCAACTCTAAAAAAAGGGAGGGTAAAGAATACATCATCATTGCGTTTGTTATTGACATGTCTCTCATTGTTTGTCACTAACGACACCCCCATAATAAATTCGATGGCTTCCGTGATTTTTCCATCATCATCTTCCACTCCAATTCACACCACCACTACACATACATATCCATCACTTCTTTCTTTTTACCCTCGTCCATCTTTTATGTCTCCAAGCACGGACGTCGCCATGACAAATAACCGTAATAGCAGCATGTTGGATAGACATCATCCACACACCCTTTCTACATTGGTGAGTGTATACATAATAAGATGATAACGTAGAGTGCTAACATGTGGGGATGTAGGATTTCCAAGGTGCGAGTTATGCTGCGGCGGCAAAATCGGTCAAATCTGAGCTGGACCAGTTAAAGACCGAATCCAAGGACAAGGTAATCCATACTCGATTGCCACTCAACATGAAAATCTGATACACTTGAGTAGATGTTCCAAAGCCAAATGGATGCATTTTATCTCTTGTTTACACGATTTCTTGATGAACGTGCCAAGAGATGCAAGCTGTAAGTGGATTGTATACAACAAACAATGACGCACAGACCAACACTTACGTTCATATGCAGTGATTGGGACAAGATTCAATCACCCTCACCCGAGCAAATTGTGCGCTACCAGGATATTCCAGAATGTAAAGCATCCCAAGATCTTCAAAAGCTTGCCGTGTTAAAACTCAATGGTGGCCTTGGAACAACCATGGGATGTGTGGGTCCCAAATCGGCCATTGAAGTGCGTGACGGCATGAGTTTTCTTGATCTATCGGTGCGCCAAGTCGAGTATCTTAACAAGACCTATGGTGCCGATGTCCCATTTATCTTGATGAATTCGTTCAACACCGATGAAGAAACCAAGCGCATTGTGAAAAAGTACGAGCGTCATAGTGTTACTTTGCGTACATTCAACCAAAGCAAGTACCCACGCATCAAAAAGGAGTCATTTTTGCCAGTGCCTCGTTCACCCGATTCACCCATTGATGAATGGTACCCTCCTGGACATGGTGATTTGTATGAAAGCTTGTATCAATCAGGTGTCCTTGATGAATTGCTTGCCTCTGGTAAAGAGTACCTCTTTGTATCGAATGTGGATAATCTTGGTGCAACGGTGGATTTGAACATTTTGCATTACATGGTGGAAGAAGACACGGACTTTATTATGGAGGTGACTGATAAGACAAGGGCTGATATTAAGGGTGGTACGTTGATTGATTACGATGGCAAGATTCGTCTTCTTGAGATTGCTCAAGTACCCGATGAGCACGTGGAGGATTTCAAGTCCATCAAGAAATTCAACATCTTCAACACCAACAACATTTGGATCAACCTACGTGCTTTAAAGCGATTGATGGATCAAGATAATATGGATCTCGAGATCATTGTCAACAACAAAACAACCGATAGTGGCCAAAAGGTGATCCAATTGGAGACAGCAGTAGGTGCAGCTATCAAGCACTTTGGTAATGCACGTGGTGTCAATGTGCCTCGATCCCGTTTCTTGCCTGTCAAATCCACCTCGGATCTCTTCCTCGTCACCTCCGATTTGTATAAGCTTGTCCATGGCCAGCTCACGATGAATCCTCAGCGTATGTTCCATACCGTGCCACTCGTCAAGCTTGGTGATGAATTCAAAAAGGTCAACAACTTTTTGTCCCGGCTCAAGACCATCCCCCACATTCTTGAATTAGATCATCTCACTGTCACTGGCGATGTTGTCTTTGGTTCCAATGTCACACTTAAAGGGACCGTTATTATTGTCGCTAATCATGGTGAGCACATCGATATTCCATCTGGTGCCGTTCTCGAGAATAAGATCGTCACAGGCTGTCTTAGAATCCTTGATCACTAGTAGCACTAGAACTTTAATAGGCAAATGCAGGACATAGAAGAAGGATGATGACTACTACAATACACATGCTTTATTGAAATAACAATAACACGAAAAGAGATAAATGTGTAAGAATGATGGGAGGGTACTGATTTACAGGAAAAGGGGAAAAAGAAATCAAAAGGCGAATATAACAATCTATTGAGTATCCCATGCTTCAGGCTGAGGTGGGGCGTATCCCTGCATGGCTGGGGACGCTGTATTGGTATCAGGCGTAAAGTTTTGCATTGTAGGATAAGCGAACGCATTGGACAAGGTGTTGGGTACCATATTAGGTCGAGCATCAAACATGATCTGTCCAAAGAGTGCGCTATCATTGAGAAAATCAAGGCTGTCAAAGTCGATGTTTAGCTGTTGTGAATTGGAAAAGTCGCTTGCTAGAATAGATTGGAATGACTGTTGCGGAATTTCAGTTGCTGCTGCTGGTGGCGGTGGCGGTGGTGGTGCTGTTGTTGTTGTTGTCATGGTATTTTGTTCCATGGGTGCAGGTGCCGATGTTGGTGGTGGTGCATGTGATAATGTGGCCATTGTGTTGTATGGTATGTCATTCGGGGCGCTCGATGTGGGTGGCGTTGTATTACTTTGTGTTGAAGTACCCATCATGGCTGCTGCTGATGGTGAATGTTGTTGTGGTGGTGGAGGAGCTGGTTGAGAATAAAGAGCAGCTGTTGTATTGTCTTGACTATCATATGGGAATCCTTGACGTTCGCTCGTAGGCTGATAAAGTCGGCTATGTGCAACCAATAAATCACTTGCTGTATTCGCCAATCGCTCGCACATTGGCCAATATGGTTTAAGTGACTAAAGAAGTCGTTAATACATTGATCTGTTGCTAGTAGGTTGGTGGTAAAACTTACATCAATGAGGTCGTACAATATCCTTAATGCTGTACTACTCCTCCTGCATGCTTCAGGACCCTTGGAAAATGTGGATGTCATAAGCACAGTGGCAAAGACGTATGCTGAGTAACCCATAAAAGGGAGAATGTTGGCACCACATAGATCACGCATCGCCCTGAATACACCAGCAGCTGTTCGCACGCTGACTTTGCACGTTTCAATGCTTGATTGTATAGCACGATATATACCAGGATCCACATCCACTGATCGAATATCACCATAGGCAAGACTTCCACGATGTAAAACCATCAACGATGAGCACCATACAGCATGCATTGATAACCATGTGTTGAAAGAATTGAGACCAGCATGATCTTTGTGCTTCTCGACATTGACCGTTGTAAATTGAAGATGATCCGGTAGATTATCTCGCCAATTCCTTAGACTGGTATCCAAGCCATTGTATTCGGGAACAGGTGGCCACACAATGCATGAAGAGTCACTCTTGGCACGATTCATGATGCTGTTGACTTCGCCAAATAATTGTACAATCTTGAGATAATGTCGTGTGGCATCAAGCAATGAATCATTCACCGTTTGCTTGTTGGATGAAATCGGCTTGCCGGATACTGAAATGTTTTGGGTGGGATCACGCAACACAAGGCTCTCCGGAATATTGGGTGGATTGGCATCGACGTCTATCTTTTGGAAACCTTGTGGACGATTGGTGCCAGCACTTGAAAACCTATGGGATCATGGTTCATGTATTAGTAAATACACTCATAATCCAATCTAAATGCATACATACTTGTCAATAGCAAGACAACTCCAAAAAATGCGACGTCGCATTGCCATGGCAACCGTATCCACGGTACCATCCTTTGACAGGATCGGTGTGCTCAAAGTCTCCTCCTTGTTCAATCCCAGTTCCTGACAAAATCTATCGTACAATGTTAATAAGCCAATGATAGACCTCTTTGTTTCAAATCTCTTACCTTACGGCTAAACCAGCATAAATCCATGCCCTATATTTTTCTTCTTGTTAGCGGGATCTACTTTTGAAACACACATCCCCACTTTACATACTTTGCTCCCGATGCACGACCATATTCAAGACATGCCATGATACCCCAAAATTGTAGATTGGGCAATGTGGGTTCCAATAGGCTGCCATCAATCAAAGCAGTGGCTTTGGCTGCAAATCGTTCGCCGGCCCAGTAGGGTGGATCCGTCTTGATATTGCGATCGTCGGAATAACTGAATAAGCGGTTACTCAGCAACATGTTTCTCTTTTACCCATTTTCATGCCCCCATTTCTCGATCTCCACACACACCCGCCGCCGCCACTTCCTATTAGCCTTACCGAGCACCAATTGCCAATACACTCCATAACAATGGCCTCGACACTGTACCATCTTCGATCTGCTTCGTGAGTGTGGCTCGATGAACAATAGGAAAGACTGAGTTGATGTATTTGAAAAAGAGCTCGACCAGATGCATGATTGTTTCTTTGGGCGGTAAATTGTCATCCACTATACAACATAAAAGATGAGAATAAAGAAAGACCATCATACCATCCATTAATCGATTCATACCTTTGATTGTACTACGTCCATTCCTCGGACTTGTACTGTGATTGATATCAGCTTCAGTGACAACCGGTAATGCTGAAGGACCACCAAGTTGTATGATACGTCGTTCCATTTGTGCGAGTCGTTCCTCCAACATTTGCACGTATCCTTTCCTTGGTCCACGTTTCTTGCTCTCTGTGTATTCGCATTGCGTATTGGAATCTCGGCAGTGATTGCATTCGGGTTTGGTGCCGTCGCATTTGATCTATAGACCACGGTGTCAATTGACATGGGGGTTTTCGCGAACAAGACAAGCGGCCACTTGCCTTCTTTTTCCTACATATCACACATGCTTGTGTTGCTCTTAATCGTTTCCGACCAGCATGGTGCTCATGGTGTTCATCGTTGTTGGAATCAGAGTTCATAACAGATAAGCAGCCGAAAAAGTATAAACACGGGTAAAAGAAGAAAACGGGTGGTGGCACCATGAATGCTCGTTGCGGCACCTATCCTGCACTCAGTCACGTCACAGCCAATGAACCGTGCGAACATCGGCTTTTTTATTACCCTCCATGCTTGTTCTTTAGAAAATCCACGGCTAGTTCCGAAGAGTAGAATCAATGGTCGATGACATCTTTTGTAACCTTAATTCATATGATTGTAACACATTTTTCTACATGTTGACTTGATACGCATTGAATGAATATAAACACATTTTACTTTATCCTACCTTCGAAAAGATTGACATTCATCCCCATCCCCGGGTTTCTCCACATCATCAACATCATCGCTTTCTACACCCAGCTGTATGCAAGGCTGTAACTCAGATCATCAGGGACTCTGTTTACCGCACTCTCCCCCTTTTACCCTTTGTCGTGAGTTGCCTTTGCATATTTCTTTGAAAAAAAACAGTGTTGCTTGGTATTTGAAAATGAATGAAAAGAAGCGAGCAATTTCAATGATGTGGATAGATATCCATTGTGGCATAAAAAAGTCCAACAGGCAACGTCGTTTGTTATAGATCGACATGTCATGTATAAGATCAGAATTCTCGGAAGAATGATCATGCCTTCAATGATCATCCGAATATGTAGCGTGGCATAGAAAAGGGAGGTGGTGGGGGAATCGGAACATGATAACTAATGCCGATTTTTCCCATCTTTGGTGATATTCCGATCCATATATTAGGAACGATCATGCATATCAATGACAGCGAATCACAACCGATGATGCCATGTTGTCTTACAATACCTACATTAGGCGCAATCTACCATCATATCTTGGGACTTTTTAAAGTGGGAATAAGATTTTTATCCATGCCATCATCCTGCTAAACTAACTACCGGTACTACAGTATATTCTTTTTTGTCAAGTAGTCGAAACGCTTGAATGTGTAGCCAACAAACGCCAAATCCTTTTGTGCATTCACTGTATCCGTGTGGTCCACTAAATATTCATCATCCCATGTTAGCTCATTGCTCCATCACCTCATCCTTCTCGTAATCTTTACCTTGCATCATGCTGGTATCTACAGCCTCGGGAACAGCCTCGAGCTCTTCGGTTGGGAAATGGCTGGTATCGGTAATGCTAGTAAGCTGTGGTACGTAGGGAGAAGGTTCAGATCGCAAAGTAGCCCAATTGACACCAGCAAAGAATGGATGTGCTTTGATCTCTTCGGCACCATTCCGGCCCAAACGATATTCAGAATCACAGACCAATCTAAAGCAATCACATATACATGAGCTTGAGCTTGATCATCTCTCCCTCGATACCCGCTCTCATCACGCATTTACCTCCGAATCAAGTCCTCAGCTTCACGGCTTAGTGGCTGGTCATCTGGGAAAATGAGAGTCTCACGCCAATTCATAATCTTGCGATAGGTATCATGAGGATGATCGGAACAAAATGGTGGATAGCCGCATAAGCATTCAAACATAATGGTACCAAGCGACCACCAATCACAGTCTTGGCCATAGCCCTTTTGTAAAAAGATCTCGGGTGCAATGTAATCAGGTGTGCCCACTGTTGAATACGCCATGCCTCTCCTATTCTTTTTCCATGTTGCGATCTTTTCCTTGGTCGTCAGATGGATACTCTCGGTCCCACTCGTATTTTGTGCACCCTCAAAGAGTCGCTGATAGTATTGTGAATGATGCGTCTTATGAAAACCTGTCGATAGGCCAAAGTCGGATAACTTGATGTGTCCTCCTTGATCAATCAATATGTTGTCAGGCTTGATATCCCTATCAAAAACATGATTAAGCGATCACCTTTTTCATGCTAACTCCCGCCTATGAACTTACCGATGAATAAAACCAAGCTTGTGTACCGCTTCCAATGCCAATACAATCTCGGCCATGTAAAATCGTGTCACAGGCTCACTGAATGTGTCGTACTTGATCAACATGGTCATCAAATCACCACCGGGTAAAAACTCCATGATAAGATACAGGTACTGAGAATCTTGAAATGAAAAGTACAGCTGGGTCACCCAAGGAGAATCGGATTCAGCCAATACATCACGCTCAGCTTTAACATGGGCAAGCTATAAAAAAGACCCTTTAGCCTCTTACACATGATCACCTCGTCTCTCACATACGCTCTTTTACCTGATCCTTTTTCATCATTTCGGATTTACGTAAAGTCTTCATTGCATAAATCTTGCCGGTATCACATGCTTGTACCAATCGAACCTGTCAAATAGTGCGTAAGACGCTGAGGGTATTCATCCAAGGAGAATGGGAAAAGACCACCCACACAAAAGACTTGCCTCGCCGAATGCACCTTTGCCAATCACTTTGACAGTGATGAAGTCATCCAATCCAAGCCGTGTACGTTGCAATCGTAGATACTGTGATTCTTTACGTCCCAAAGATTGAAGTTGTCGATTCTTCTTTTCTTGGCTACATTGCTCGTCTTGTAATCGTTTCTCCACATCCAATCGCCTTATCACGTGAATATGAAAAAGTCAACCAACCATTATGAAGAAACCCACATATACATATATACACACTACCTTTGTTTACGTTCAATAGCTTGTTGCAACGACACCTTGTAGTTGTGTTCAAGTCGTAGCTTGGCAGCAGATGCACGATCGAGAGCACTTCGTGGAAACCCTTCTGTCGATCGGACAAATGGAACCTCGGGATGCTGTGTCATGTCGAGTGAGGAAGAGGATGAGTTGAAGGGAGAAGAAGATTGCATAAGGAGTTCAAGAATAACCAAGGGCTGTCGACAAGGGGTTGGTGGTAGTAATAGCAGTAGTTGTAGAAGAAGAAAGGGAATACGTTGCCCAAGATAGTGTAATAAATGTCGCTAGATGGTGTCCAAGCTAAAAACGATGGCTGAATGCGAAGCTAATGCGAGAATGGCAGTTGTTCCAAGAGACGTAGTATCGTATGTCGAACAAGGACTGGAGGACGAAAGGAGGGGTGGAGAGAACTAGAGAAAAAAGAAGCACGGCCCAGACGACGACGCCTTATGGCGGACTCGCTGAATTAGCCGGTTACACTTGTATGTGAATCCTCTTATTCAATAATGCATGCAATTACGTGCGTGTTAATGATTTCGATAATTCTAGATGGGGTATCTCATTAAAAAGTCTACGTAAAGCAATGGATGTGATGTGTGTAACTAGGATGCCACTTGTTGCTGCTGCTGCTTCAAAGCCTGTTGTTGACGATGCTTTTGCCGCCATGTCTCTCCTTTGAGTTTCACAGTGATGAAAGCGGATGAAGATGCAAATAGCAAAGCACCGCAAAATGTATACAATGGACCTGGTCCCATGGAATAAGCCATATCGGATGACATCAGTGTTCCAATACCACATAAGATGTATCGTACAAGGTTATTGCAGGCTACAAAGAGACCACAGCATCAATTGCATGCTTTTCATTTTTGTCTTTTGGTCAATCTTACCCATAACGGATGCTACATTATTGCGATAGCTATCCATAAGGTAAGCTGTGATGATGGTGTTGGGTGGACCAAGACAAAGACCAACTATGGCAAATAACAAGTTATTAATAGAATGAAGAAGATCGCTCGTCAATTATACTTACGGATACCGGTGCATAACAAGCCAAAGCCATAAGGCACGTTCTTTTCTACGCACCAACCGAATGCCGTGAAAGCTAATAGCAACCCTACCATGGCACCATACAGCACCACCCCACCAATACGTAGCTCTGGATACGGCGACTTGCTGATTTCCTTCAACATTGTAACACGACGCATATACAACCTGTCAGAGTAACGACCACCAACAAGGCTCCCAATAATGAATCCACCTGCTAAGGGCAAGTAAAATAAGCCCACTGTACCCGAATCAAATCCATATTGGTTGTTGTAAATGCGAGTGAAATTGCTGTTCAACAAGTAAAACCCAAAGAAGCTAGAGTGATGCCTCCTGAATTAGCGTTACCAAGTCAACAAAGAATGCATGTATATGTTACTTGCAGTATGCCGAGAAACAGGACCACCAGGGAAACGTTTGGATATCGCATGAAATTTAAGGCAGCAATTGGGTTCATGAAACGATGGCGCCAATGGTTGTCGTTGCTCTTTGTTTGTTGTTCTGACATTGTTTTCTCGGAACTTGAGTCGAATGAGGAGAGCTCTTTTTTGACATAGCGAGTTTCGGGAAGGAAAACGATAATCGCGATCCATACCACAAAGCACAAAATGGCGAGAAACCAAAAGATACTCTGCCATCCAAGGTACTCATTAAGGTAACCTCCAAACAGTGTGCCTAATGCAGGTCCTACATTTTGCAGTGATCAACATGGTGGCGTTGCCATATTAACACCACCTTTCGCATCTCACGAGGAACATTGATCTACCTGCTAAAGGTCCCATTTGAAATATAGAAAAGGCTCTTCCTCGTTCATTTGGATTCGTAATATCACCAATGGTACCAGCACCCAACGAAAGCATCTATGTATCGCCATCATCATCGTATTGTGAGATGCATAATGCATAAGTAGGGGGGTTGATTTACTTACAGATGATGCACCCACAGCACTCACGGTTCGAAAGATAATGAACATGGTCACATTGACAGATACAGCGCAGCAAACCATACCCACAATGGCGATCAAGAATGAAATAATGTATATAGGCCGCTTTCCAAATTTGTCAGCAAAGGTCGCCCAGATCAAAGGAAACAAGCCAAGGCAGAAAATAAAGACCGATATTGATGCATTTATGGTGGTGTCGTTTGTGCCAAAGTAGGATTGCATTTCCAAGATGGCTGGAAACTATGCATGGAGTTGTGTTAGCCTAATGTATGCTGTTGACGCGTGATCGCACGATAAACATAACAATGACGCACATAGATGTTTGTTGCACAGGGTGTACTATTAGAAAAAGAGAGCGGGTTAGTAACGAGGATGGGACATGGAATAAGAAAAAGACCGTACATGAAGGCTGCTAGCGCAACAATTAAGACGATGGTGTACCTTTTAGGCCGTGGCCAATCTCTTGGGTCGATGTCAGAGGATGGTCTTCCCAGCAGGAAGCGTCTACATAGAGATATCGATTGCACATTTTTCTCTTTTTCAGGAGGAGGAGGAGTAGCATCGTTGTTGGATATTGTGATTTGCAGGTCGCTGCCAGAAGAGTTATGCTGTTGTTTACTGATCATTGATAAAGTAGACATGTTTTAAAAAACAAACAACGCAAGTTGATCGACTAGAAGCCGTCCCTGTGATTTAAATAGTGGATGCATGAACGGGGAAAATGACCAAGATGGGTGCTCAAACAGAACACCCCGTCACCCCTAGGGAGTTATGTCTTTCCTTGTGACAAAAGACCTTTACAACGTAAACCAAAGCATATCCATTCTCACATTTCGACCTATGCGTCATACTGCTTGTTCCTATTCTTCTTTCGCTCACCCTGCCAAGTCAATTTTGACGAGATTTGCAACGTGGAAAAGGTATATTTACACATCACGCTCGTTCGCTGTGGCAACAGAAAATCTATGCTTGTTGATTTAGCTCAGGGTTGCTAGGTATCAATGTTGTTGCTATGGTAATAATTGTGATGCCATTGAGAGAGATCGATTGTGGATGTCATCAACGCTGCTGGTGGATTGGCACGCCTAGCACGTGCTCTAGCGAGATTACATCGTTGACGGGTTCTAAAAAACTGTGACCTTATTGCTAACCACGTTCTGGACGATGTGATAATGTGGTCATTGTGCAAGCGGCTCTTGAATAGGCAGCAACGTAAATGGGTATTATCCTTACTAGCCATCATGTAATCAGCCATGAGACTACCAATGAATCAATCAAAGATTGCGTACCCCTTTCAATGTTGAAGCAGCCTCATCATCCATGTAATAAATTATGTCACAAGCTCAATGGTGAATGAACGCGGCTTATGGTTGCAGGTAATCAAGATCATGTTGTTAGGTGTCGAACCCTTAGTTGCCTAGGCAATCATTGCCATGCCAACACACGTACCATATAATGTCTTTTGTTTGATAATGCATGCAATTACGTGCGTGTTTATGATTACAATGCAACATAATTCTATGATGGTATCTCATTAAGATGCAAATAAAAGGGGGTTACAAAAAATGATGGATGCGTATAACTAAGATGCCTCTTGCTGCTTTTTCAATGCCTTTTGTTGGTTATGCTTTTGCCTCCACGTCTCTCCTCTTAGCTTCACGATGATAAATAGTGCTGAGGATACAAACAACAATGCACCGCAAAATGTATACAGTGGACCTGATCCCATAGAATAAGCCATATCGGATGACACCAGCGTCCCAATACCAGCTAGGATATACCGTACGAAGTTGTTGCAGGCTATAAAGTCATCATGATTTGAGTGCTGTTGGCTCTCTGTTTCGCTCTGGGTTGTTCACTTTACCTATAACAGAGGCTCCATTTTCACGAAAGCAGTCGATAATGTAAGCTGGGAGAATGGTGTTGGGTGGACCAAGGCAAAGACCAACTATGAAAAATACCAAGTTGTTAATGATGGATCACAGTGTTGCTTGTTGCTGTCGTAAACACTTACTGATACCAGCGCATACCAAACCAAAGGCATAGTGTACATCCTTTTCAACGCACCATCCAAATGCAATGTAGGCTAGCAGCAATACGACCATGCAAGCATAAAGCAAGAAGCCGCCAATGCGTAATTCTGGATAGGGCGACTGGTTGATTTCCTTCAATTTGGCAGCACGACGCATATACAACCTGTCAGAGTAACGACCACCAACAAGGCTGCCAATAATGAAGCCACCTGCTAAGGGCAAGTAGAATAAGCCCACTGTGCCGGAGTCAAATCCATATTGATTGTTGTAGATGCGAGTGAAATTGCTGTTCAACAAGTAGTACACAAAGAATCTATTATAGAGTGGTACCCGAATTAGCATTACCAAGCCAACAAAGAACGCAATGTATGTTACTTGCAGTATGCCGAGAAACAGAACCGCTAGGGCAATATTGGGGTATTGCATGAAATTTAATGCAGCAATTGGGTTCATGAAACGATGGCGCCGATGGTTGTTGTTGCTCTTTGTTTGTTGTTCTGAGGTTGTTTTCTCGGAAGATGAGTCGGATGAGGAGAGCTCCTTTTTCATAGAGACATCGTAGCGGGTCTCGGGAAGGAAGATGATAATGGCGACCCATACCACAAAGCACAAAATGGTGAGAAACCAAAAGATGCTTTCCCATCCAAGACCTTCATTAAGGTAGCCACCAAAGATGGGTCCCAATGCTGGTCCTAAGAATATCACATTATCAGCATTATGATGTCAATATCATCATTCCCAACATTGACATACCTGCTAAAGGTCCCATCTGATATATAGAAAAGGCTCTTCCTCGTTCACTTGCACTTGTAATATCACCAATGGTTCCAGCACCCAATGAAAGCATCTATCAACATCATTTCCTTGTGAGATCCATGATTGCATTACAATGTTTGATTTACTTACAGATGATGCACCCACAGCACTCACTGCCCGAAATACAATGAACATGGTCACGTTTACAGATACAGCACAGCACACCATGCCAATGATGGCGATCAAGAATGAAATAATGTACATTGGTCGTCGTCCATATTTGTCACCGAAGGTAGCCCAAATCAAAGGAAACAAGGCAAGGCAAAAAACAAAGACTGATAATGATGCATTCATGACGGTATCAGTTGTATCAAAGTAGGATTGCATGTCTTGGATGGCTGGAAACTATGCATAGCGGCGAGTTAGCATACATGATTGATGATCCGTGATCGCCCGATAAACATAAAAACAATGACGCACATAGATGGCTGAAGCACAAGGTGCACTAGAAGAAAGAGAAGTAGAAGATCAATAACAAGAGTAAACATGTGAGGGGTGGTAGTAAGATACCATACGTGAAGGCGGATAGTGCAACAATTAATATAATGGTGTATTTCTTTGTCGGTGGCCAATCTCTTGGATCGACGTCGGAAGGTGGTTTTCCCTGCAGGAAGCGTCTCCACAATGAAATGGATTCCCCATTCTTCCCTTCATCATCATCGGGAGGAGGAACGTTGGTTATGGTGATTTGCAAGTCGCTGTCATCAACATCAGCATTATTTTGTTCGCAGCTCAAAGTAGTAGACATGTACAAAACAAAAGGCTGAAATTGCTGAGAAAATTGTTCCTGAGGTTTATATAGATGATGTATTGGGCTCGGGAAAACGAACAAGCAGATTGCTGAAACGGGAATTGTGGCAACTAATAGTCCTCTATGGAATTGTGTTTTTCCCTTGCGGCAGCAAAAAACCTCTGGCTAGCCTCTTTTTACATGTACTTGAGTAGCACCATCCTTGGCAATGAAAGCATGTCCATTCTTGCATTTCTACCTATCCATCCTTTTGGTTCCTTTTCTTCCAATCAAACATCATCATCACCATCCCAGCAGGTCGACATTGGCCAAGACATGAGAAAGACCTATGCAAATACCATATTTGTATGTCTCAGTACCTTGATTGCTAAATGTCCTTCGTATGTATAGAATCATCATACATTAGCTGGATGGGTGTCTCATCTTGCCATTGAGTAAGCGATAATCCATCATGGTGTGAACATGGCCGCATTTTGCATTACTAAGGTGTGAAAATGAGTACATAAAGCCTGCCCGATCCTCCTCCTCCCCCTTTCTACCAAGCTATCTCATCCTATTACCAGTTCTTTCAATACCCTTCACTATGCAATTCCCTTCTGCGCAGTATTTCCTATTGTCGATTCCAGAGCCCCATGTGCTGCTCATCACCATCAATCGTCCAAAGCAATTCAATGCACTGAATCCCGATGCAAACTGGGAATTGAATAGACTGCTCGATTGGGCCGAAGACACGGATGACATTTGGTGTATTGTGGTATGTTCTTTTGAGAGGTCTTGTGAAGAAAAAAGAAAGAGGTATTGATAAGGGGGAATGACATGACTACTGGCAGATCACGGGTGCTGGCGGAAAAGCGTTTTGTGCTGGAATGGATCTTGTCAACTGGAACAAGGAGAGAAAGAGTGGTTCAGATGGTCAAGGTACCGAGAGTCACATGCCACCCACTGGCTTTGGAGGTCTTAGCAACAGGGCCTTGGCTCGCAAACCTGTGATTGCTGCTGTCAATGGCTATGCACTTGGTAAGCGGTCCTATTCATGCATGCAGCATCATGGTGCATTACTGACGACTCCCAAAAATAGGTGGTGGCACTGAAATGGTCATGGCCTGTAACATTGTGGTGGCAACCAAGAAATCAAAGTTTGGGTTACCTGAAGGTGGGTATCGATGCATGGTTGCCATGGATACGATGAGATGCTGATGCCATTTGGGGGGAGGTTAGTTAAACGTGGTGTCACCATTGCTGCTGGTGGATTGGCACGCCTAGCACGTGCTGTCAGTTATCAAACTGTGAGCGAGATTGCATTGACGGGTCGACATTTCACTGCCGAGGAATTCAAAAACTATGGTCTTGTTAACCAAGTCGTGGATGACAATGTGGATATTGTGCAAGCTGCTCTCGAATGGGCAAAGAAGATTGTAGCAAAGTAAGATCATACATGTATAACACGCGATGCCCCTTATACTAATCATCATCCCATGTAGTTCTCCAGATGCAGTATTTATTACAAAGTATGGTATTATGCTTGCTCTCGAACGTGGATCTATGTTTGATGCTACCCAAGAATGGATGGAATCGGATGAAGCAATTGCCTGGCGCAATGGTGATAACTTGACAGAAGGTTTAGCTGCATTTGCTGGCAAAAGAGCACCCGTATGGAAAAACCCTGCACGTGTCATTCATCGCAACAACAAGAGCAAATTGTAAATTGTAGTAATAAACGTCGTCTTTTATATGTCATGATGATATCTCAAAAGCTTCCTCGTCGTTGCAAGTGTTCTTGAGCCGATGTACGAAAGGGGTATCCAGCACTCTACAATACATACACGCACATCCCTTAGTCCATTGTACAAGGATAAATATAGACACACTATCCATCCATCACATGACAACCACCCACTTACACGCTGTGCTTCGATATCGGCTATCCGCTCTAGTGGAATAAAGATGACCAAGTACGACGCGCCAATGGCAATCAATGCATACAAAGCACTTGTCTTTGAATAAACAAGGCGGAGGTGTGTAAGCCGCAATGCAAAACAGAAACAGTGACCCCATCGTGCAATACCTCCTGATGCGACAAGTCGAATAGTCCGTAAGATGCTGTAAGGTAACCTAACCAAAAGGCAAGAATGACGCCGGCAAGAATGCGCATACGCTAATAATGAGCAGTTGCCACCGAAATGTACGCCATGCAAGTCTTTGATAGAGGTGATACGTTTTTTGAGCGTATGTAATAAATAAGGATATCGAAAAGAGCCGCGTCGATCTGTAATGTAAATCCTGACGCATCACGCGCCGACTCAATATCATGCTAAGCATCGAATTCCTGTGATACCATCATTGAATCAAATCTTCTTTTATTTCTATTCCCAAGACGCATTCGTAATAAGACATAACCATTGTTCAAATGTGTATGTGGGGAGTTGGGTAGTAGATTGAAAGCGCGTATTGATGCTTGTCAACAGTCTAGTGGTCTTCTTTTCTTTGTGTGATCTCTACTTGAAAGCTGCAGCAATAGAGTAGCAGGTATGCAACCAACAATGACTAAAAGCTTATCGAGGTAATCCAAATCTCATTTGAGTATTCACCTATCAGAGGGCAAGAAGCCCTATGCTATCGACTTTGCTTTCTGAAACGACCACCCGCAGGGGTAACGTCTTGTTTCGTGGAATTTGGACATGGCATGTGATTGTAATGATAGCAGATGGATGTCGTCTTTGTTTGATAATGGATGTTGCCTCCTTGTCTATGTCAGGTCGTGATTTGATCAAGCATGGACAATCGCACCATGGCTCTTTGTGAAGGCGCCCCATCAACAATCTAGCATCCCATCACTGTTTTCAACAAGTATTTTATCACTCTTCGTGGTCACAGAAACACCCACGCCCACCATGCGGATATAAACAAGATGAATGTTGTCGCCCATCGTTTACTTCCATACATGTCTTTCTTTCCATCATATCACTCTTTCACTTCTTACAACTTCAAAGCCCTTGGTAAGTGCCATGGTGGATGATCCTCTTTGTGAGCGATCCATGTACTCATATACGTGGTGGCATTTAGCTTTTCATTGTCTTTGTTGTCATTGTGATTCTGGTTCTTTGAGTAAGGTGAAATCCGGATCATCTTGCTTCAAGAAGCACATACTCACATTGCTTCGATGTAGCCGCCTCTCGACATGCATATTGAAAGCTGGATTAGGTGGCACAGACTACTACAGCTCGTCATGATGGTGGTGGTATACGTCTTCCCTACGTCAAGAGCTTGATCAAACCGTGCCTGCCAATGGCATTCAACTTGGCACAGTGAATAATCCTTATCATGCAAGCCACTTTACAAATCCGTCCCTTCACTCGAAGATGCAACATTCAAGAAATAATGAGCAGCCTGAACGTGGACAAATGATCAATTGAAGGATCTTTAGCAAGAAAAAACTCTACCTGCAATTGGCCTTTGAACCCGCAAAGGATTAATCAAGATGGGCTGTGGCATTAAAAAATGATCGCGAATGATATCATGCATTTACTTCAACAAGCACATTGGAACAGTGACATCAACGCCGCATCCTCCAACAAAAATCAGCTATGTATATGCTCGCCCTGAGCACTCCATCTTTCTATGTTATGCCACTTCCGTTCATTCTCTATGCCTGTATCATTATCCTGCACCCATATTTATTTCTCTTCTACATTCTCCATTCTACAATCTCATAATAAACATCCTCCATAATACTATGCATAAATTCTCAATATACAGAGCAAGCTCGTTTATCATTAGCCATTGCAAAGAGCATTTTATTGACATAACATTACTACAACGATCTAATCACGTGATTATATAGGAATGCCAAAAGATGATACAACATGGGGGAGAACTCTTCACACACACACTCTCTCTCTGCATGAACAATGATTCGGACATCCGGCAAAACTACGAAGGCGGCGGGGAAGAAGCGATGTGTGGCTTGTTGGGATTGAATTGCCCTCGTTCTATTGCCTGGGCCCTTCTTTTGTGTCGCGTTTACCAAAAAGTCAACAACATGCACCACTGGAGACCCGCGTCAAGGACATTGGCGTGCTCATGGAATGGATTGACTCGCACACACATTGCACGTAGAGCTACAGCTATTTCAGCACGTTCGACCATTTCTCGCTCTTCTCCCAGCCATGCTCTCACCGCCACTCGTGCCATTTCACTAAAGAGCCTCTTCACGCCGTCAAAGTCAAAGAAACATGAGCAGCAGCAACAAGAGACATCAAAGGTCATGTTAGAACCTGACAACCTATTCCACATGTTATCAAAGTCGCCTATCGCTGAGCTGAAGGATCGAGCTGCTATTATCAACAAGTACGGTGTATGCCCTGTATGCGACACTCACGAGACACCAGAGCACAAGAAGCAACCCGTCTATGAATGCCCTGATTGCGGTTATCCAACGCATTGCAGTGAGGAGCATTATCATGAAGGCCATGAAGCCCACAAGGAGATTTGTCATATCTTGCGAGAACAAAATGAGGATGATCATGACTTGCGCTCTGGACGATCCATGGTGGAATTCGAGTTTCCCAGTAAGTTGAATGTGAATGTATTATGTATGGCATGGCATGCTCATTGTGATTGTGTAAAAAGGTGCACAAGGCTTCGATGAGACTGTCAACATGGCCAATTGGGACGTCTTTTTCTACACACGCAGCTTCCCATCTATGGATTCCGATCGATCAATGCGACATGTATCCAAGCTTTTGACTTATCCAATCACCATTGCTTCTGTACTCCATCAATCGTGTCCTTACAAGTTGGGTAAAGAAATCACGTCCGAGGGCATGCGTTCAATCTCAGGTAATGAAGAGGAGGACAATGGGGATTTAAACAACGTATGCATGTATTCATTGTATGTTACTTGTTTTAGCACTTCGTACCATTCTTTATCCAAGAAATGAAGTTGCCAAGGATGGTGTAAGCTTAGTACGCTCTGAGACCATCAATGTGTATATTGTGGGTGCACGTGCTGAAGCCTCTCTACCACCGTACATTTGGTTGCAACTTGCCTATTTGTTCCCGCACACGCCATTCCATATTCACATGGTGGGCCCTGATGCCCTATCACCATCTCAGCAACCCTACACCAAGTCATTGAATGAGCGTCTCATGTTCACTTACGACAACAGCATGTACCATGACTACCATGAAAAGATTGAAGAATTTGATCCCTATACCGATCTCTTTTTCTTGTTCTCCCCTGGTATTGGCCATCCATCAGCAAGAGAGGGCTGGAAGCAATCCATTCAAAAAGCATTGGAGACCAAATGTCCAATTTTCATTACCGGCTATGACCAAGCGGATGTGAGCACGGACGTGGCAGCTGTGGAAGAGGATTACCAAGGCGAATTTGATTGGGTGATGCGACCGACTGAAAACGTGTTCCGTAGCTTGAAGCGTGATGTGAACTTGATGGATGTACGACAAACCATCTTCGCCAACTGGGGTCTGTGGGGTATCCGTGGCAAGCGTTACGATGTCACGCACACACCAGAAGACGACGACGAATAGACTAGAGTTTTTCACGTGCTTACTCAATACGAGTGTGTAACCTAGATTCCCCAATCCTCGGCTTTCAACAACTTTTTTTTTTGTGTGAGCTTTTTCTACACTTTTGTTCTCTCTCTTCCTTCCTCGCTTCTTTTCTCCTCCCTTTTTTCTTTCTCGTCCTTTCATAATACATACACAACACGCACCGTTACATATTATACAGCAATATACAGCATCATGGGAAATAAACGAAAAGCATCTGCACTTCAGCAGCAACCTCGGTCAACAACAACCACAGCAGCGGCCAATAATGACTTGCTTTCCAAGAAGGAGGAACAAAAATCACAAGAGGTCCTGTTAGCCGATCAACCCTCCAGCAAAAAATGGCGCAATTGGTGGATACGCACGGTCACTACATTTATGATGATTGGTGCCTTTTTTACTATTCTCGCTTCAGGCCATTTGTGGGTGATTCTTATGACAATGACGATTCAAACCGTGGTATTTGGTGAAGTCATCTTGATCGCTCAAGGTCCAGCCAAAGAAAGACAAATGCGTTGGTACAAGACTATCAGTTGGTATGGAAACATCCTCCCACCCCCTTTCATCACCTCCCCACGATCTATGCACACGCGCACACGCACGCACACACACGCTATACCAATGGCGGTGGGGTTGAATGCATTGATCTCCTACTCATTGGCGGATCCTAATCTCTATATTTTTTTTTCCATCTCAGGTACTTTTTTGTCACCGCCATGTATTATCTGCATGGAGAATCCATCATTTACTACTTTCAACAAATCATCCTTGTCGATGCCTTCTTATTGCCTTTTGCAACCCATCATCGCTTCATCAGCTTTATGCTTTACGTCATTGGTATGCCCTTTCATAGTAAAACGAGGATGACGATGTATACTTACAATGGTTGTATCCTATAGGCTTTGTTTTCTTTGTGGGAAATCTACGAAAGGGTCTTTACAAGCGCCAATTCGCACAATTTGGATGGACACACATGGCCCTTATTCTCATTGTTGTTCAAAGCCATTTTATTGTAAACAACATCCTCGAGGGGTTGATCTGGTAAATATGCATCCATTCGGGAGTAAATGAGGAGAACCATGTCGCTGATAGATCTTTGTGTCGTGCTATCTTAGGTTTGTACTACCCGTGTCATTGGTCATTTGCAACGACATCTTTGCCTACGTGTGCGGTTTCTTTTGGGGCAGAACACAACTCATCCAACTTAGCCCAAAGAAAACAGTGGAAGGCTTTTTGGGAGCTTGGCTATGCACCATGGTGTTTGGATTTGCTGTAAGTAGGGTTCATGGTCATAGGGATGGATAGAGAGAGCACAATGGGTTGATTAACATGTGGATGAATGTATTTGTAGTGGGTGACCTTGCTTATGCAGTTTGACTATATGGTGTGCCCGGTCAAGGTAAGCTAATTTGGCAATGTGCGGGAGGAAAAGAGTAGAAAAAGGAAGGATGTTGTGCCTGATTGTTCTCTTTTTTTCTTGTCATGTGAAGGATTTGGGAACAACTGCATGGACTGCTGGCGTTTGTGAACACAAGAACCCCGTTTTCACTGCCGTCGCATATGATGTACCTGCAGTATTGTCTGATATTGCTGCTTCCTTGGTAAGTTGGATAGCATCCCTTACTCTGTGGGGTTTATAGATCGGGGTTGAAGTAAATGGTAGATCAGTGAGCCAACTCTAAAAATTCATTTCTAGAATGTAACCAAGATTTATATTGCACCAGTGCAATTACATACGTTGGTGATGGCTTGTTTTGCTTCATTGATTGCGCCTTTTGGTGGCTTCTTTGCCAGCGGTCTCAAGCGTGCATTCAATATCAAGGACTTCGGTCAAAGCATTCCTGGTCACGGAGGCATGACTGATCGTATGGATTGTCAATTCCTGATGGGCTTGTTTGCATCCATTTATTATCAAAGTTTTATCAAGGTAAAAATGTGTACCTCGGGATGCAAGATGATGGGAATAAAAAAGGGGTGGGGGAAAAGAAAAAGAGATGGAATCGGGAGCAGCGGTAAAAGAAAGGCAAAAGGGATGTTTGCTACACTACTATTACTATGTATCTGTACAACATAATAACCTCGTACATGTGTGTAGAACCATATCCATTCGGTTGGGGGAATCTTAGCCACGATCATTGGAAGTCTTACTTTGAATGAGCAATTGGAGCTTCTTGAACGGCAACTCACCTTCTTTGTGAACCAGGGTGTGTTGGATCCAAGCGTATTAGAGAAATGTGTGAGTAGCGCATTGACTGAAAATGCACGAGTCATCTTGGGACAATAAGCAAAACAAATAAAATGTAGCGCAGGACGCCCAATACCTTGTACAAAAGAAATAGCATGCATTACTTACATTGGATGGATGGGGGTGGTGTGAATGCAAAGGGCGGGCAGGTAAACCGTGTGTGAAACTAAGAGACAAGCCCAAATTCGGTTTGTATCACCCAAAAGTATCAACATGATTGTACATTATTCCACTGGTCTCTTTTGTTCCTCGTATTCTTTCCTCACGCTATTGTTGTGGTGCCCATTACAACTCCTGTTTACTCGTCGTCTCCTGAGCTATTGCCTGCTTATCGACTCAATCCCTCCTCTCGTCGAGATTCAAGCCCCCATTTTACTCCGATTCCTACATTACAACGTGTTCACTCGCTGCATCAACTGTTTCTTCTTGCCATTTCCCCATTCATTGACCATTTCGCGAGTCAACTCTTGTCGTCTTCAGTGTGAGAATACAGCATGAGCACGAACGACGTTATATGCAGAGTATGTGCACTCTACCCATACATATCTACCGACTCGTCCTCGCTCTCGTTTGAACAAGGTGCTATCATTGATGTATTAGCACAACTCGACTCTGGGTGGTGGGATGGCTGGTAATTCTTCAACCTCGTCAAAGGGTGTATCCATGGAAACAACTAACACATGGCAACAACATCATCATCATTAGGTGCAATGGAAAACGCGGGTGGTTTCCGAGCAATTATGTGCAAATCATTGAGACGAGTGGTAGTGGTGTTGATACGTTGCTGTCATCCAAGGTATTTAATTTGGGGAATTCATCCAACGGACCGAGACAAGTATATGCATTTCTGGTACGACTCCTAATTGGTATTATTACACGCCCTCCTCCCACCACATATATCAATTATCAAGGATACACAAAATTGGCATCGACACAGCAGAACTATGGATCCTTTATCCCAGCAACACCAACAACTACGACTCAGCTTAGCAGCATCGGAAACACCTTCAACATCACCGCCAGTCGACCAACGCTCCGATTGGATCCTTCAAACAACTGAAGATGGCTCTGAAGTTTACTACTACAACGTTGTCACCAAAGAAATGCGCTATTCCGTACCTCCTGACGATCCCATTAATTATGAAAAGAGCCCTTCCTTTTATGATCACCCACCTATCAGCAATGACAGCTTGCGATACAACGATTATGCAGCCTTTAGCGACTCTGAAGAATTCAACGATCGATTGGATGAAAGACCTATACGACCTGCTCGAGCTGCCAATCGTCTTGATCATCATCACCTTCATCATAACAACGCTGTTGAAAATCAAAGCTTATTAAGTGCGGGGACCACGACTTCGAGCTCTATCTCTTCACCTAGCATATACACATCAAAATCAGGCCCCGATGAACAGGTAACATGGTCCATTTAGCATCCATCTGTAACGTTTATTCATTGATTAATTTAATAGCTTCCGCCCAATTGGATCAGAAAATGGACACCCAAAGGACGAGAATATTATTGTAACGTGTTGACCGATGAAACAACTTGGACGTTGGACCATGTTGATCCACATACGGGGATGTTGATTGCACCTTCCTCTCCTCCACAACCACGGCTTACTACTACTACTACCACGGATGGACGTCTCAGCCTTGCTACCATGGGTGCACAAAACAGTAGCCTCTCATCCCTTGGCGTTGGCAGCAGCACGAGCTTTGATTTATCACCCTCTTGGAGCCATTTATCATCTCAAATTGCACAAGCAATCAAGACATTGAAGGGATCTGTCAAGCAAGGTCAAATTGGACTTTTTCGTGAAGATGCATTGATGGTCGTACAAGAAATTCGGCTCTTGTTGTATGTTGCCAATGCCGTTGACAAGGAGAGTTCACCCTATCTTAAAGCCAACAAGCAACTCAAGAACTATCATCGGGCATTGCTAGCTGCCTTAGCCAAGCTTGTGTTATCAGCCAAAGTGGCATCAGGGGCATGGGCACCTAGTGAGGCGATTGCAAAGCTTCAATTGGATGCGGATGAGGTGCTCATAGCTGTACGCAACTTTTTGACCATTGCTCAAGATATGCGAATCGAAGTACAAGAGAGCAAGCCCAAGTTGATTCATGAGAGTTCTCCCAATGCACGATGGCGTAGTGCTTCCAATGTGAGCGAATCGCGACCTGATACACTTACGACCTTGGTGGTGCTTGCCGACAATGTCCATGGAGCCATTTCATCGCTTTTGGATAGCGCACGTGAAGCCTTTTCGATCGCTGATGATGCCACGGTCCTATCAAAGATTCAAAACAGCACCCCGTTACTCGTGGCTCAATTCCGCAACTTGAGCAATACCACGAGCCAGTTTTTGAATTCCGTTGAGGATATCGAAATTGGACCACAACATTCAACACGCTTCTTGTCATCCAAGCAGAGCATTCATGATTCGATGGGACAGCTATTTATATCATCTCAGCATATCACCAATCAAGAGATATCAGCTGAAGAAGTGGTCGTCACCTTTGAACATATTGAATCTTTTGCTAAAACGATCGATACGGGTGTGCATGATATTTGCAACATTTGCCGTCAAGCATCCTTGGATCGAGCCACAAGCAACAATAGCAGCACTACACTGGTGGATAATAATAAGCCATTTCCAGCAGATTCTGCTCCGATCGGCGCTGGACGTCGACCTTCGCATGAATTTGCACGCCCACCACCACAAGCTACAGGTCGCACAAGTCGTTTGACAGATATTGATGAGGAACGCATGATGCAATCACAACAGCAGCCACCACCACAACAACATATACCAGGCATTCCAGAAAATTTTATGCCGCAACAACAACCTGCCACACCTCCTCCCAATAAGGATGCCAAACTTGCAAAGTTTTTTGGTGAAGATACCTTGGAAGCTTCACGTCGTCGTGACACCATTGCTAGTGCATCAGGTCTACAAAGTCCAAGTGTAGCATCATCAGGCATTTCACCAGGGCCACACACACACGATCGTGGGGACTATGGAAACGATTACAATCCCAATGAAATTGTTTTCAACATGGAAGGCAATGTCAAAGGTGGCACTGTCCGTGCGCTTGTGCAACGACTCACACAACATGATCAACTTGGTATGGTATACAAACATTGAATAATGGCAACATCATCATCTAATTCATATATCTCTCTATAGACTCCAAATTCAATACCACATTCCTTCTCACCTATCGATCCTTTTGCACCACTCAAGAACTATTCGATGAGCTTTTTCAACGCTATACACTTGTTCCACCGCCTGATTTGACGCAAGAGGAGCTTGTAAAGTGGCAAGAAAAGAAACTCAAACTTGTGCGTTTACGGTAAGTGCCATGGTTACAACCACGATCTTCAAATGCTAAGCCCACCTCCCTTGTGGATGATTTTAGTGTGTTTAATGTGATCAAATCATGGTTGGAGAAATACTACAATGAAGAAGAAGATCGACCCATGTTGCCCTTGCTGATGCAATTTACGGATACCATTGTACGAGAATCCATGCAATTTGGTGCTGAGCAATTGATCAAGCTTGTACGGAAACGCATGGATGCTGAGGATCCTGGGCAAATTCGCAAAATGACGCTCAATGTACGGCCCCAAGATATGCCTGCATCCATTTTACCCAAGAACATGAAACGCTTGCGATTCCTTGATATCGATCCACTGGAATTGGCACGTCAATTGACGGTGATGGATTTCAAGTTATACAGCCGTATCAAGCCTGTTGAATGCTTGGATAAGAATTGGGGCAAAGGAGACTCGGAGCATATTGCTGCCAATGTCAAGGCATCCATTGAGTACTCAAATCAAGTGACATCCTGGGTGACGGATTCCATTCTCAGCAAAGAAGAAGTCAAAAAGCGAGCTGGTGTTTTAAAGCATTGGATTTATGTAGCAGAGGTACACACACATACATTGTGATGCTAAGATCCGTTTATCTAATCCACTATGATAGAAATGCCGCTTGCTCAACAATTTCAACACATGCATGGCTATTCTTTCAGCCTTTGACAATAGTTCCATTGGACGCATGAAACGCACGTGGGAGGTAAATACATCCATTTCTACTCCCAGCAGCCATGTAACTTTTTGTTATCTTGTACATAGCTCATGGGAGCTCGCACGATCCAAACATTAGCGGGTATTCGACGATTGATGGGAGCCAACAAGAACTTTACCGAATACCGCGACATTATCCACAAGATCAATCCCCCTTGCATTCCTTTCCTCGGCATTTACCTCCAAGACTTGACATTCATTGAAGACGGCAACAGCAACTATTTGAAAAAATCAAAGCATCTAATCAATTTCGCAAAGCGTATGAAGACTGCGGAAGTGATTCGTGAGCTACAGCAGTATCAATCCACTCCTTATCTATTGCAAGCCGTTCCCGACATCCAAGCGTTTATCAAAACGCATTTACAATCGAGCAGAGATGAAGAGACGCTCTATAATTTGAGCTTGGATCTGGAACCTCGGTAAGCTTTACTTTTCTTTTGTCATGAACGAGGGAGATCACAAAAAACTCATCTATGTGTATGTATAGGGAACGGGATGAAGATACAATTGCACGACGACTGAAGGAATCAGGACTTTAAAAAAATGGCACACACTTTTGATTTCCTTTCCTCTCCTTTTCTTATCTTTTTCTCTCTCATTCACGGTCTTTTACTATTACAATTTGGAACGAATGTAGTGAATAAAATTACTTTATGGCCCTTCTCTTGTCTCTACAACACCATCATCATCATCGTCTTTGCATTCTAATATAAGGATCGAATGGATCAAGGTTCGGCAAACAGGGCACCTTCGGTTATTGGGATCATGCTGCGACTTCAAGATCAAGGCACACGAAGTACAAAGACATACATGTTGGCAAGGAACAAGGGCGGCAGACTTTAGCTCAGTGAGACAAATGATGCATTCGGGTCGATTGGCTGCTGCATTTTCGTTTTCAGCGTCCGGCATACCATAGAGTGGGGAATAGTACAGTGATTTACCATCCACCTATTATCCTCATCAATGTATGTCCCATCATCAACAATGAAAATCCACTTACCAAGAGCATTTGAGACCTTGCATGAACATGGCATTTATCATCCCCCATGATATCAATATCGATCAAGGTGACATGCTTCTGAGTATCCGCACACAGCTCGATTTGGATGGAATATCTCTTTTGGGTGGTGGTGGTGTTGGTAGGAAGAGGGTCGTTGTCGTTGTCGTTGTCTTGGATACCAGAATCGGATGACGACAACGACGACGTCGACGGGGCAACGTGTATCCGATGGTCATCAGACAAGCTAATTTCCAGTGCACCCTTGTTGTCGCCATCAGGACCATGAATTTCTGCTTGAATGATCTGGGCAAATTGTGCAGGAAGGGAAACCGAGCTTTAATTCATTGTGAACAAGAATAGTAACATTTTCAACATCCCATTTATGTGCAGTACTTACCATTTATCACTTGTAGTAGTAGTAGTAGTAGGAGAAGATGATGATGACAATGACATGATGCATGGTGCAAGGGTATCCACGATCCACTCGAGTCGCATGTTGATCACACGAATAGAACCCTTTCGGATATGGAATAATGCACGATAAGCAGTTGCATGATCCTAAGAAAGAAAAGGCTGGATCAATGATGATGTTATATAATCTTTACTGCTTCCCTCACCTTCACGTTAGCTTTGGACCATGACTGGAGTGTAGACTTTGGCAAGAGGTGATCACCAGCAGCAGCAGCAGCAGCAGTGAATAGCCAATCAGGAATGCGTAATGCAGGGCCATGGCCATGGACACCATTGTCCTCGCAAGTCGTTGTCGTCGTCTCTTGTTGTTGGCGATGTTGTAGCTCAACGGTGGTAGTGGTGGTATCTTGTGCACGAGATAAAAAAGTTCCCATAATACAAAAGCAGGTTGTGTGATGAGAAGGGACTTTGAATGAAATCACGCTGCATGCCTATTAATCAAAAGTACCATTGTCATATGTTCCACAATCCATCATCACCAGGCTTGTCAATCACTTGTACATAAGTACCCTTCTCCTCCTTTACGTCGACTCACGGACAAATAAATGGATGATGACGGGAAGATGCCGGCTCTCATTCTTTTATGCATTGCCAAACATGCAAATAATGCACGAGGTGAACCAAATCGGGTTATCACAGTGGGGTGGTGAAGGGAGGAGGTGGGGGAGTAGTACACAAGGAGGGAGGTAGGTATTGGTATGGTTTGTTTGAAGTAGCCTTCAATATTATTTAGTCCCAGAGGTTAAGCAGCATCCATTTCAGGTGTTACGCTTTCCATTTACTACTCAACCCACAAACTGCCCTCGGTCCCTTTTTCCTCTTTCTTTTTCTCTCTCTCACTCTCTCTCTCGTCTCTTTTTCTCTCTTGTCTCTTCCCTTCTCATTTCAACAGTCGCATTGTCCTCGTCTCACTCTTACTTGGTCATGGAATGTCTTGATGCCAAAATCCACAAACTCTATAACCTTTGGACTACCATGGGTATGCCAATGGACACAGTATCGATCACGGACCGACTTCAAGTATGCTTTTCTTTTACATACAACTTTTACACTACATGGATATACGCGACTCATCGAGCTATTTCAGTATGTGCTTGCAGAATTGGATCGACTCTTAGCGTACGAGGATCTACGACGACAATTGCTGTGTGCAGATATCGAGGATAGAATGGTACATAAAGTATGAATGAATGTAATGACGAGGAGGCTGACATAATATGATTACTTAGGCCAACATTGAAGCATCCTGCAGTATCCTTGGTGTTGCCCTGGAAAATGCGCTGACGTCCGAACTATGCAAAGATGTCGCCTTGTTTGACAACCAGCATCATTTACCGCTTCATTCAGACATTGGCCCGACATTTGCCAAACAAGAGGCTTTAATGGCATTGGATTCAAAATTAACCAGTGTAACTATCATCATTATATTGTATACATGCGTCAGAGGAATTACTAATCTCACTATTTATCGCCTCTTCATCTTCTTCGGGTATAGGAAATACATGAACGCCGCATCCATGTGAAAAAGTGGCTACGCCAGATCAACAAGCTCACAGCAGAGATGGATGAACCAAATCCATTTTCCCCTTACGAGGTAAGACATCAATCATACAGCCACTGATAGCCCATTATCCATAACATCATCTACTATATAGACCTATGAGAACGAATTGAGCTGGGCAACGGTGCAATCGGTAAGTCTTCCGAACAAAGGATGGGTTGGCTTTCTCTCTTTCCCCTTTCCACCCTCTCTTTTTTTTTTCCCTTCCCTCACCCCTTTTGCAACTCCTGATGTTTACGGTGGTGTATGTTTTTTGTAGATCAGCTGCGCCTTGCGTGATTTACTAGAGAAGCAGGTAAAAATCTATCGATGTTTCTTTACAATATAAGGTTTCAATCATAACAAACCATGTTGTTATTTTTAGTCAACCCGTCAACAAGCATTCGAGCCATCTGCAAGGATGATACACTTTTGCTGGACTATCTTGGATGTGGCGCCTAATCGAGATGACCCCATGGATATGGCACTCGTACGACTGTTTACAAAGGTCCCATTGGAAGTGGATCGAGAAAACCTGACACTGGTCGATTCAGCCGACAATGACACCACTTTATCTTACTACAACAACGTATTCAGGAAGGATAAAGATGGCATCAACTTGCGTTCAGCTGCCAATGTCGCCATCTTGGAGGCAAAAGCAAAGGAGCTTCAGGCTATCTATGATACACGACTTGCACTTTACAACAAATACGTCAAGAGCATCCGCACCATTTGGGAAGAGTTAAATGTACCCGACCATCAACGATGCACCATTGTACCATCATTAAGCAGCAAAAATCTCGAAAGGGTAAGGGTGACATGATAGCTATCAGCCACGTGTGTGTGTGTGTGTGTGTGTGCGTACACTCATTCCTCTTTCATCCATGTGGTGATTAGTTGCATCGCGAATTCGACAGGCTCAAGACCATTATTCGAGACAGAGCCGAGGATTACATTGACAAGGTATGTGGCTATTGTTGACATGTAATAGCAGGATGATGCTCAACCCTCTCTAAACAGTTTAGGGAGAAACTCGAGGACCTGTGGGATAAAGCACTCCTAACGCAAAGAGAACGAGCTGATTTTATCTCTCGACTACATGAGAAAGGTATGCTTGTTCATGTAAGGGATCAATGCATTGATAATACTCACATACAATGAACAGCTGACACCATGGACCAAGTACATCTTTTGGTGGATGAGCATATGAAGTACCTGCAACGTGTTCAGCCGAAAGCTATCCTCGTGGCCAAAATCATGAAACAACGAAACGACCTAATCCAGGTAGGTGATAGCACTTATTCCCCGCCTCTCCCACTTACAAGTATCTATGTAATAGGAAATGATCAACTTTGAAAAGAATGCATCAGATCCTAAGCGACTCTTTCAAGCTTCATTCCAATTGCTACAAGAAGAACGATGGCGTAACAGCTGTTTCCCGAACCTGCTACAATTGGATGATGCCTTATTTAAGGCTGTACGAGAATTCGAATATGTTTCAGGCAAACCATTCATCTATGGTCAACGTCGATATCTTGACACTTTGGTATGTTTCTTTTTTTGACTTTTCATCGAAAACGGTCATCTCACTCTTTATCTTTTAGCGTGATGAGATTGCGGATCGTGCTGCCAATCAAACATTCTTTGGTTTCTTAAAGTCGAGTGAAAAGAACGGCAAGAATGGGGATCGACGTGTCAAGCCATATATGGCCCGAACAGCGTCATCCACAACAACCATGAAACGACTCATGAAAGGCAACCCACCCTCACCTTCGTCTTCCAGCAAAACACGACGCTCAAAATCAAAAAATACCATTTCATCATCATCCCCTGCATCTTCATCGCATACCACCACCAACAAAACAACTCTACAACAGGAGAATCATCATGACGACAATGATACCCCTCCCAAAATGCCACCTACACCACCTGCAGAACTGTTGGCGTTTTCCTAATGAATGACACCTTTAGTGTGTCTCCATGTCGCATGAAGGCAACATTATCAAGTTGTTGGCAACAGCTCTATTTGAGGATGACCCACCACCTTCCCTTGGTATTATTCAAGTTAGCATTGCTGCACTTTTTATGACCTTTGGCTCTGGCGTCACTACTACACGATTCGCCTTTTGTATGGAGACACTATACTATCTTCATTTGGAGTTGACGCTTTAATTGGGAGAAGAATCTACTATTGCATATCTGTACGCTTAAGTACGCTTTCACTTTTAGATCATCTGCATCATCATGTAAAAAGTACTAGTATCTTTCATCATTTGGATCACAATAAAAACAACATTTGCATTGAAAGTCTCTTTTACCTTCTACGTTCTATGAAGCTATCTATATATAAGATCCCGTGATCGAAAGAATCCTGCAGCGCGTGATAAACGGCGAAGCTGAAATCCAATGTCAGTGTTGCTTGGTTTCACGCTTAATACTATTCTACCTTTCTTTGTCATCTCTTGTCAGCCATGGATGTCGTCAAAGCCGTTCAGCACTATGTGGAGAAAATGATCAGCGACGTGCCTGGCATGAAGGTGCTGCTCCTTGACACAATGACGGTAGGGACTTGCAAGTGGATTATGGGGGAGGGCAACTTGACGTAGACTGACATGTCATTTAGACGCCTATAGTATCTCTTGTCGCGACACAGTCCAACCTCTTGACAAAGGAATGCTACCTTATCGACCGCATTGACAACCGCAACCGAGAGAAAATGAAGCATCTCAAGTGCATTTGCTTCCTACGACCCACACCCGAGACACTGCGATACCTTATTGACGAGCTACGAGAACCAGCTTATGGAGACTATTACTTGTGTATGTGTGTCTACTACTACTACTACTACTATTGGCATGATGCATTAACCAAGGCATTATAGACTTTAGCAACACCGTGCACAAAGCCGATATCGAACGATTAGCCGAACTTGATGATCACGAGGTGGTCAGGGAAGTGCAGGTATGTATGTGTATGATGGATCTTCAAGGGTCAAAAGGGCATAATGGGAATGCTTATGGATGGAGGATAGGAATACTTTGGTGATTACCTTGCCATCAATCCAGATCTCTTTTCGTTGGGTATGGAAGCGGGTGACATTTTTGGTGATTCGGCTACCAGCTGGAACAGGGAAGCATTTGATCAATCGGTGCGAGGCATTTGTTCAGTACTCTTGAGCTTGAAAAAGAAGCCTGTCATTCGATATCAAGGAGCAAGTGCAATGGCAGCTGAACTTGCCAATGAAGTCCAGGCAAGCTAGGCATGATGTGGGATCATGGTTGTGGTCGACACGCTACTAATACGACGCATCATTTACAGAAACAAATCCAACGAGAAGGGCAATTGTTCGATTTTAGGCGACCTGATACCCCACCCATTCTTCTCATTATGGATCGCCGCAACGACCCTGTGACCCCTCTGCTGACACAATGGACTTATCAAGCGATGGTGCATGAATTGATTGGTATTCATCATGGGCGAGTGGACATGTCCAATGTCCCGGATGTGAGGAATGAGCTCAAGGTATTATCATTGTTTATGGTATCCAAGAGTCAAGTTTGCTTACACAAGAGTGTTTTAGGAAATTGTCTTGTCGCCTGATCAAGATCCATTCTTCAAAAAGTCCATGTACCTGAATCTCGGTGACTTGGGTGCCACTATCAAGCAATACGTGGATGAATATCAGACCAAGACCAAATCCAACATGAACATTGAAAGCATCGCCGATATGAAACGCTTTGTGGAGGATTACCCTGAATTCAGAAAGTTGTCCGGCAACGTATCCAAGCATGTGGCTCTAGTCAGTGCGTTGAGTAACCGTGTCTCTCAGGCGCATCTTCTCGAGATCAGTGAATTGGAACAAGGGTTGGCTTGTAATGAGAATCACAACAACGACCTTAGAGTAAGTGAAAATTTAATCCATATTGATTGTGTGTGTGTGTGTGTGTGTGTGAATCTCACGCGTGGGGATTGGATCAACTTAGAGCATACAACAAATGATTGAGAGGAGCGATATTTCAGAAGATGCAAAGATCCGCCTGGTGTTATTGTACACGCTACGATATGAACGCATGCAGAATAACAGCATCAAGACGTTGGTGGATTTACTTGATCGGGCAGGCATTAGTGAAAAGAAGAGTGCGGTATGGTTACATTGGCAACATTACTTTTCATTCTCTCATACACGCAAATCTTTTATAGTTGATCCCTGCTATCCTGATGTATGCCGGTTATCAGCAGCGACAAGATGATTTATTCTCCAATCAAACATTCCTCTCTCGTGGCAAAAGTGCACTCAAAGGATTGAAAGGCGTGGAAAACGTTTATACACAACACACACCATTGATCGGGGAGACATTGGATATGCTTATCAAAGCACGACTTCGAGATACGACCTACCCATACATTCCAGGGCAAGCACAAGCAGTACGTGAAAGGTAATGTCACGATCCTCGTATGTTCTAAGTGTGATGGAAGCTCATTGTTTATTGTTTTAGACCTCAAGACATCATTGTGTTTATCATCGGTGGCGCCACATTTGAAGAGGCACGTTACATTGCACAACTTAATGCCGCTACCCCAGGTGTACGGATTGTACTCGGTGGTACCACCATCCATAATTCTACCAGGTACATACATAGGACGGGCCACCTATACATACATGATTTGCTAATAGAAGCATTTGTAGCTTCATGAAACAATTGGATCGTATTGGTCAAGGTTATATGACACCATCACGTCGTGTATAAGATACAAAAAAACCATTGTACTTGTATTATTATTTATAGTAGACATAGCTCATTTCTATTGGTGTGAACAATGGAAAAAGATATCAACAAAAAGAAAGCAACAAGGTGTGGATGAGACAAAAAGATGCTGTTTAAGGGAGTTGTTGAAATGAGGATGTAAGAGTGTGTGTGTGTGCGTGTGTAAATATGTGCGTGAGAATGTTGATGAATGGTGAGTCGTAAACGTGATCGTATTTGGGAGTGAGCATTTATGAGTAGGTGTCGACCAAAGTATCGCGTAATTCGTTGACGATGGCGGTAGGTTGTGCGTCCTGGAGCTTGAAGATGCTTTCAATAACGCTCAACTCTGTTGAAGTGGTATCCATGCCTGCAAAAGCAGACCAATCGTTGACGACACAGCCTGCACCAATAACATCCGAACCACGGTTGACTGTACCAGCAACCAAAGGAATTTGCAACAACGATGACAATTCATCTTGATCTTGGATAGAAGTACGAGGATGCACCAAACCACCTTGGTTACTCAATGCACAGTAGGCTCCCACCAATACGTTGTCGGCAACGGTTTGTCTGAATACTTCAACTTGAAGGGTGTCGGCAATGATTTCTTCGGTCTCACGATCGATATCTGGATGGCACAAGGCAACGTAATCATTGCATGCAATCACATTGCCAAGAGCCGACAATCGTTCTTCCACACGCTGCACGGCCACCTTGTCTGGAAGCGAGTTGCGCAAATGCTGCAATTCTTGATCAGTGGTAGTGCTGGGGACAAGGAGGCCATTCTTGTTGCCTGCCGTCAAACGGCCAATGATACGGGTGCCGGCAATAGAAGTATGCACGATGGGAATAACATCACCGAGCTCGCCTTCGAAAACACTATCATGGGATGAATAATGAGAGATTGTTTCCATATCTTATCATCGCACACACACAACTCAACATACCTGTAAAAGTTTTCGGAACCACCCAAGGCAACAAGACAATAAGAGTTGGTAAGGCGCGAAAAGACGCCGATTTCGTTGCTGTTTTCAAATTGGGCACCTGGATTGGAACAAGATCGTCGAGTCAATACAATGTCGACATTCAATCAAGGTGATCAAAGCAAATACTTACGGACAGCCATAGTATGTAAGAACGGTAGAAAGTGAAGTAAGCAAAAAAAGCTTGCTGGAAAACGCCGCTCGCCTTGGCCACCGCCTTTAAATCCTCTCGATCCGCAGCAGCACAAGCCGCAGCAGTACAACATTATCCCGCTCTATATTCTAATGGCGCAGCATCATTGTTCTTTTCATTATGCCGCAGTAACATCGATCATCCTTGCCACTATGGTTACTCATGAAGCTCCCATAACTCATACTACCAATGTATTATCACCATTCATCGGAATTGCTTCCTCGGCTTCTTTGCAAGGCATCGCCTGATGAAAACTCGCTCATGTTCTTTTCAACCCGCAGTCGTAGTATACATTTTCATTCATTCACTCATTGACAATATACAGCCAACCCCATCCACGATATACATAAAATCCTCCTTTATCAAACCTGAGATTCTATCTCTTTGGCCTCTTGTGTTTTCTCTTACTATCCATGGCTGCTTCTCGAGTATACAATGCATTGATGGAACACTTGTATGTGTAAGCTTGTAAGCCGAAATACCTTGATGCTATCACCTGATTATGTCTTTGTGTGTCCACAGCACTTAAAAGAAAAGGAACTTTCTCTAGAGCGCTATCAATAGCCCTGTATGTTTCTGACATGCACTAGGAATAGCACTACTCTTCTATTTTATGAAAACAATGAATGCTGCAATGTGCCCTTTGTTTCACCACGTTGACGACGACAATAAAGGTGCTACCCAAATCCATTCACTTCCCCTTTAACAATAGTGCATCTTTCTTAATAAAGGCTCACAATTTAGTACGATGGTTTGAATACATGAAAGCCATACAAATTATATTGACACAAGGAAGGAACATCATTTTGATAGTAATCTCTTATCATGCACACACTTCATTAGTGAGAATGATGGACTCTGAATGGGCAAAGTACAAAACGTAATGTCGAGGTACAAGCATTAGAATCTGAGAAAGGAATAAAGATAAGTTGTGCACCAACCAGGGCGTATATTAAAGTTGAACGCCAATGAGTAATTTTTTAGTCAGCCAAGTCAATTCGCTTGCTGCGAGTTATGACTGACACAAGTCCGATTCATAGCTATGCAGAACGCATGTCATTCAACCAGAGAATTCAATGACTTAACAATCTTCAAGGTGCAGCCTTTTTGAAAATCACTCGATTGATCCTTGCTTATTGTCGCTATGGCAACGTTCATTCTAAGGGTTACTATGCAACCCAAACCATTCCTTTCAACAATGGACCTTTTTTTCCTTTCCTTTCTACATCATCCTCCCCATAGATCCTCCCAATAATCAACCCTCATCATCTCGATTTCAAACCCTGCCCACACCATCACCCTTTATGCGCAAATCAAAAACTGCAAAAAAAAAAACCCCTATCCACCCACCCAGGTCATGGCAATGATCAACCACACATCTATATTCCCTGACTGCCAACAACACATCCCAAAGGACATCAATCCGTAACCAGCAAGCAAATGTTGTGCATTCAAATAATCGTTTTACTCATTTCTTTTGAATCGCCTCAGTAATGAAAATGGCTTGGCACCTTCATAAGTAATTGTAGAGTCGAGGCAATCCATCAATGCGTTCAAGTGCTTGGCCATGACGATGGATAACAATATCTTCGCGACATGCCGAGTTGGAAGAGGAAGCTGTTGCTGCACATACAAATTAGTCACGATGACCACGATGGGATGTTCGTACACATAGCACCTGCTTGCATTCGCTCCACTATATCGACATTGTATTCTTGCTTGTAAGCAATCCATAGAGGTGACAAGTTGAGTAAAAAAAAGGTAGAACTACACATACAAAAGTAAAAGAGAGTTAGCAAAGACCCTCTCTACGCGACATACCATGCCTTTCAATCGTAACTTACAGATGCTATAACGTGGTTGTCACGTAAGCCGCATTGACCTTGTCGACAATTGCCTATTGGAAAGTAGCTACCATAGCGGATCTTGCATAGTACGATCAAAGGAATAAAGACATGGCATTCAAAGACCCCCTTTTTGCACCACAATGTCGTCTCGACTTAAACTTCAAAGCTCATAAGTGTTGTGTCTGTCATTGCTGCTTTCGAGTGTTGTTGCATTGGCTGGCCATTGTGATAGAGAAAGCATAAAGTAAAGCTGACTTGGAGGACTTCGTTGCTGAGATACAACTTCCTTTTTAATTCTGAGCTCGAAATTTCCGAGGGGAGGAACCCCACCCCACAACCTTGACCCCAAAAAACACTTTGAACACCCTTTTGACGTCTTTTCAAGCACTCCTAGAGTATATTCGTAATTGATACTTCATTACATTGAGAAAAATTTTCTCTTTAAAATGATGTGCATAATGTAATGGTTACAGTACATTCTTGGCCTTCTATATATGGCAATTTTGAGGTTTATATAGCCGCGAGCGGTATAAAAAATAAGAAGAACAGGAATCGTCCTCTATGGTCTAGTGGCTAGGATCCCGGTCTCTCACACCGGTGGCCCGGGTTCAATTCCCGGTGGGGGAACACTCCAAAGATGAAATATGAAAATTCGTCCGTTTTGCACTTTTGTCGGATGATATTTTAGATTTGTAATGTTGCACATGCTGTGGTGCTGAGCCTTTATCTGGCTACGGTGCCATACCGCCAGACGACGCAAAAGGATATACGACACTTTTTGTGGATTAGGTCACGTGACCTCTCGGTCGATTATCGTAGCAAACATTAACCATCACGTGAGGTTCAAGCGCAACATACAAGCAATAGTGACACACAACTTATTCTGGTACCACAGTACCCATCATCTTGTATACATATATATTTCTACAACCACACTATGAATAAAGGATAACTCTCTCTTCTACTTTTAAGTCATCTCTTATCCTGGCCATTGGTTCAACCAGCCAAGACAAAAGAGACATCGACACGATCCAGCTTTTTTTATAATCCCTTTTTCTTACGCAGGATGTGCTGAATTTAGGGAGAAGCAATGCTGTGATTTGTGTTGCATGCAGCAAATGTGCTTCTTTAAATGAAAAGTGCAAGTTGTTTATGCTCATCGTGCATATTCAAATTTCACATGCAATGCATAATGATATTTAATGGGTCGCTAGAAAATACATGACGATGTCCCCTGATCAGATCATAGATCACATTTACGCTCTATGCGATATGAAAGGTATGATACTATAGGGAGAGCTAGGTAAGCCTCCATCCCTGTTGACTTTGTAGGTCACCTAAACGTTGATGATGGGGCTTGTTATTTATATGGATCAATGTAAATATTGTGGAACAAGCAAACGATGTAATGTGCAGAAGATTCTTAGAAACCAAGCAAGAAGGAGTCGTTGGGGGAGTGCAAGAAGAATCATGTCACGGTCAGCTTTATTACAACAATGCAAAGATTACTTTTGGGATCATTGTCTTTATCTTTCATTGTGATATTAGACAAAGACAAGACCCGTGTTTTCCTGTTTAAGTGGTTGTTGAGATGAGCTATTCAGAGGGGAATGTTTTGATGATCGACATACGCAATGATATTGGGTTCCGGATTAATTTAAGTGCATGTGTGGATTGTGGAGGTGCAGCAGCAGGGATTCATAGACATTTTTTATTCATGGCAAAAGTGGATGTATAGTAGGTTGATATAGATTACATAAAGATGGCTGCAATGATTCATTTAAAGGTTGCAAAGCTTGTGTAAAGTTACTTGGATTGACAGCAGCATGATGATCGCATTATGTCAAAGAAGAAGGCGAGATGTATTATGAATGAATAAGCTAATAGAAACATGTGTGTGTGTGTGTGTGTGTGTGTGTAGTGTGCTTATGACATTGACTCAGGGTTGAAGCTTAACTCCTTGCAGGGATGGTGCGAGATAGTACCACGTATCCTACCTACATGGACCTCCATAATCCTTGCAGCGGGTATCTTATTGCATGGTAACGATAGATCGACAACCACCCTGATTCATCTGACTTTGTATCAACGTTCAACAAAGTCCCCCCAGCACCGGCGAACTTGCAGTTGTACTTCTCTTTTTCTCTCCCTTTGAATGATTGCGTTGCCCATGTCGCGAGAAGTGGATACGCCACGACCCATTCTAATAGACCACTTTCTCAAGGAGGCTCTTCAGATTCTAAAGCATGCCAGCATGGCCGTGACAGCACCTGACAGCACCACCACCAGTAGTAGTACCAGTACCAACAGCAGCAGCAGCATAATCAGTGACCAGGGACATGAGGACGACAATGACATTGAGGGTGGATCGGTTACTTGGAGGCTGAACTTTACGTCTTCCATGATAACGCTTGATACCAACATTCAAACGATTGCTGGATTGGACAAGGTGATTGAGCAATTGAGCGTCAATGTGCAGCCAAGGCCTGTAACGAGCAGCAGCAACAGCAACAAGAGTTTGCCGCGACGACGACGACGAGGAGGAGCGACCTATGGCGACGTGGATCAGCATGATGTACCAGGCTTCCTACACGCGGTATCCATGGCATTGCATCTATCGTCCGTATTTCCATTACCTAAAGCCGACATGTTCCGTCAATTCAACTCGATGCAGCTGATGCATCAATGCGTGCAAGCGTTTGTGATGTGTGACGGAGCCATCTATTTCAACATCCCACAGCTTTTGCAGCAAACCGATAAGGTGCTTTCAAATCCATCAGCATCCAAAGAGTACCCGGTTGAAACACTCTTAGTGCTTAGCATATGCACTGTAATGATTCGACATGTCATGGTTCATAAACGAGGTCATCCAGCGGTCGCCACAGGGCTTATGCAAGCATACTATTCACACGCACGGATACTCTTGCAAGATTTATTCGATATTCATCATATTTGTGTCATCCAATCCCTGCTGTTGCTATCGCTTTATCCAAAAGGACATGTGGATATGATATCACCTTCTCGCATTCAATCACCCCTACTTGCTATGACGGTTCGGATGGCGCTTGCCATGAATTTACATCAATTGGATGCCGATCGACTTGGTGTAGAGCAGCAGCAACAACAACAAGAGGAGGAGGAGGAGGATTCAGAGGATAAGGAAAAGTTGAGACGATTAGCATGGATGATACTTTGTGCCGATTACTTTGCCGAAAGGAATGAGTCAGGTCAAATGGGGCGAATCAATGTGACAAATTGGCAAGTGGATTTCCCTCGGCCATTATCGGGAGAATCACCCTACACGCAAAGGCGAGTCGAGTATCTATCTCAGTACAGCCGTATCGTTATGCTCCGCAAAATGAATCTCTTTGGATCAGCTTACCGCATTGTACTACGATCACCACGCGCACTCGAATCATCCATGGATGAAATGCTTTTCAAAACATACATGAATACGCCACCCTCTTTACAACTCAATCTCGACATTTCACTCATCGACAAGTACACCAAGACCGACATTGAACCATTATTATTACACGCTCTCTACTATGATACATTGATCTCCACCCATATCCCCTTTCTACCAAAGCATCATCTCGATTCCCTCGATCGTGAACGACCTACACGTGAAGCATGTGTCTCTGATATTTATCAACGCATATGCCCCCAGCAACGCGTCTTCCTTCCCGACATCGCATCTTTCATCCATGGCAACAACACCGTATCATCATCCGACATGGACAAGAGCAACAGCAATAGTAGCAATAGTAGCAGCACCACCAACAGCAGTAGTAGTAACGAAGAAACGCCATCCAAAGACGACATCGAATTCCATAGCATTGTTGGATGTATCGAGGCAGCATCAAACTTGACGTTAGTGCTTGAGGTACTTTGCAGGTTGGATCCTACTGGTTGCCATTGGTCACCGATCTATGGCGGTTTGGTTACGGTGCACTTGTATCATATGCTGGAAATGAATTCTGGGGATCTCGATGTGAAGCACGTATGCCAAATCAATCTTGTGCGCACCATGCGTGTATTGCAACAGTCTGGTACTGTATTTGCTGATTCAGCCATGTTGTATTTGGATCGAATATTGCGTCAATGGATCACCGTCAACCATGAAGAACCTACACAGCATCTTCAACGTCGTGTGGCAGAAACCATCCAAGGTCTAAGGAAACGTGCCAAAACGCAACTCATGAAGAACAACAACAACAACCAGCAACAACAGCATGAACAATTCAACAACGTCAAACTTGAAGAATCAGCATGATCCACGCACGTGTCCTCTCTTTTTTTTTACCTTTTGCTTTTCTAGCTCGTTCATTCCATCATCATTTGCTTGATTTCCAATTATACCCCCCAACTACCCTTCACATCTTGTTGCATCTGCATTCAACACTCATTATTTGTAAACAAGGATATACATATATATACATATATACTTTGTGTTTATTCATTGTTGTTATGGCAACCTGGATTCATTTCTCGGCTCATCATCTCCATCACCATCTGGTTACACATTTTGGCATATGGGTTCTCTTGGACAGCAATGGTACGTGCAATGGGATTTCCAAATCGAGCTCCTATTGTTTTCCAAGGGGGTGGGGTTGAGGGCGGTGTTAGACACAACCATGTTTCTCACGCTCTCTCCTCTCTCCCACACACTTTTCATACCTTGTTCAAAATCGATACGTGATCCTTCAGAGTCACCCTGACTACGCTTAAGAATAGCACGTTGTGTATATGCCTTGTTGGTAGGATATGGTGTAAGCAATGGGCATGCATATAGACGTATTTGAGAACTTCAGTTTTCTTACCTGGCGCAGAATAGAAGGTTGTCCTTTACCCAGAGTCGAAATGACTTTATCTAAATCATTCATAGCAGCTTCATTATTCTTCATCAATCGATGTACTTGTGCTCTAATAAATGCCATTGATGATAAGCACATAGCCATCCTCCATCCCACTTTCCAACTTACCGGTTATTGTATGCTGATGCATAGTCTGGTTCACGTGTGATACATTGATTGAGCACATCCAAAGCATCTTGTAACCGGCCTTCGTTGGCATGGTTGACAGCTTGCTTTTCCAAATCCTGGAGCTCTTTTAACAATTCAGGTGCAAATTCCTTCTCTAAAGTCGTGGATGTTAGACACCTCGTAATACAAAGCTTATGTGATGATATAGACATACCAGGCTTGTTCTCAACGGCTTGTTGGAGTGATGAAAAGGGTTGACCTTGTGCCTCTGATTATTATAAGAGTAGTAGTCAGTATCATGTTGTGCTGCTTCCCATCATTTACAAGGCATACCAGGGTTGAAGATGAATTCCAAAACGGCGTCGTCTGAAATGCTTGTAGTCATGTTGGTATATTTTTCGTTTGTGATGTATGCGGGGTAAAGAAAGAAAAAGAGATGAACGGCTGCAAAAGAAAACGTCGCATCTCGTTTAATAGGTTTCACAGGTCGTGGGAAAAATTGATTGGGTCTCGAGTCCAATTCTCCTTCATGCAGCGGACAATGTTAGGTCACGAGACCATCCATTCTTGTACTCCCCGCCACCACCACTTGCTACTAGACAATGAGCATTGAAGAGATCACACGACTCACTCAAATAATGGATGTTTTAAAACGATTGTATTATGAAGGAATATATAACATTATTCTTTAAAGATTACATGTGTTGTTTCTTGAGAGCTTCAAGTTCTTGTTCCAAACGCTCACGTTTTTGTCTCTCCATATCCAACATGGCAGCTAGGTCTGAAATCTCCTTTCGTATAGGATCGAGTAGACGTTGCATCTCAGCTTCGAGAGGTGATGTATCATGTTGCTTCTCCTCACCACCACTACCATTGCTACTACTAGGCTGAGGAATGGGTTGAGATGAAGAAGGAGGTGGAAGCGGCATTGAACGTTTAGGCATAGGCGGTGGCGATTGTGGTTGTGGTGGAGAAGGTTGCATCTCTGATTCAGTTACACTCTTTCGAGGTGGAGGTGATGGTACTGCTGCTGCTCCTGTAGATGTTTGACTTGTAGGTCGAGATCGTGTGGGTGGTACAGCTATTGTCATTGTTGTTGTCAGTCATCCTATACACCTATACCAAAACTCCTTTTCCATATAACTCACGTGCACTAGGTGTTTTGGGAGGTCCACCCACCTATAACAAAAAATGTCAATACATATCATAGAGTCGTATTCAATACACATTTACCTTTGGAGGTTTAGCCATGCTTGAAACAGATGTTCGATGATCACTGCTAGGGCCTTCAGGACGTGGTGGTGGTGGTACTGCACCTGGCGTAGGAACAGGTCTTGAAGGACGTGTAGGATGCTCTGGTGACTGTATCGATGATTGATCTTGTTTAGCTGCAATAGGTGGCAAATCAGGAGACACAAGCGGAATAGAAGGCTGCCGTTTATGAGTCCTTTTAGGTGGTTCAATAGGAGCAACATTGCCAGATGAAGGGGGTCGTCTTGTTGGTAGGGGAGGAGATGTCACAGGGCGTGGTGGAGGTGGTTCAGTGCTTGTTGATGAAGCAGATGTGCGATTGGTCAAAAGCGTTGTAGGTCGAGTTGCCACAGGAACAGGTGGTGGACGTGCCATAGAGGGTGATGTTACTGATTCACTGCTACGACTCGAAGATGTGGATGGTTCCGTTTTAATGGTGGGTGGCCGAGTACGACGAGGTGGTGGGCGTTGTTGCTCTTCCAAGATTTGAACAAAGTTTGATGGGAATACGCCACTGGCACCCGATTCATTGCTACCCTTCCACCATCCTTGATCGTCAAGCTTATCAATGATCGTCACATATTCACCACGCATCAACTTGAGCTCATCTATGCATAATGTGATTAATGGATAATGATACAAAAGAAGATATTAATTAAGCTTACCATCATTTTGTGGTTCATACTCATGTAACACCATGCCTATCAATTAACACATGATGAGAAGGTTGTGGTGATGTATTGTAGTACAATATTACCTTTTACTTGTGTAGAAGTTGTCGGCCCGTGATCCGAAGGCGATTGAGTAGTATGCTACGATAATCAACGTGATGGTCAGATGCATCCTAAAGAGTTGTTGTTGCTCATCAGCAGACTACTTACCGATGATGTCGTCTCCTCATCAGCACCTTTGGGAGCCTTTTTACGTAAACCCATACCACCAGCAGCACCAGCAAGGATACTTCCAATACCACCTTGCTTGACACCGTAAGCAGCAAGTTTGAATGAATCTATCCAGATACTTAATACATAGCACTCCCAAAAGAATAACAAGGTATATAACTTACTCCTATTGCTTGTTGGTGTCTCAGCCTCTTCCATCGCTTCCGTACTATCGATTATCTTCACATGCTGATATATAGAAAAAAGATAACGTGATGAGTGTGTGTGGTAATGAAGGGAAAAAAATAACACCTACGTCTGCAGGAAATAACCCCACTTTTCCATTAAGATCGCCTTTCCACAACCCGTCGCCAATCGATTGGTCGAGTACAGTAATAACGCCGTTTTTCCATAGCGCAAGTTGATCAGGACCTTGAGGCTCATAATCATTCACGATTCTCGCAAGCACAGGTCCTAACAAGAAAAACGATATCAACATCTCATATCCATGCATGATTGTCATTATCCCATTACCTTCTGCAACAGTAGATAAAGCAGTACCAGTTGCCTTTACAAGAAACTGAATAAAGATGTCCGTGAGAATCATGCATACGTATATAGCGAGCTTCAAAAGTAGTCATCATGTATATACGCACGTTGCTTGGTACAAGACCTTGTTTTCCAGTAGCGGTATCCTCCACGGTCCACCAGTCGTTATTGTCTGCGTTGAGTACTCGAAGTGTGTCACCAGGCTTTAGGTTCAGCTCATCGTCTTGCTGCGCTTCGTAAGCGTGCTTTGCTTGAAACAGCGTGTCTACATTCACATGCATTAGGGGGCTATGGGTGGTCATTGGAATGAAGAGGTGTATGTGTCTTACCATGCATTGCTGTGTGAATAAACGGGTGCTAATGGCTAGTTGCAAAGACGCTTGGGGAGAAAGTGTAGAAAAACGCGCAAAAGGGTTGCCGAGAGCTTACCGTTGAACAAAAGAAAACTATAAGTCCGAAACTCTAAAGGACGGTTACCGGGCTAACCATTCTCGCGACACATGTCATGCAGCCGTGATGTACGAAAACAATGAACAATGTCATTTTATTATATGTCCAACATTGACTTGTATATGTACGGTATTAGATATCCATTGGAAGCTGTCGTAATGAAATGAGCTTTCTCTCTCTAGTGAACATCCCATGCAATATCAATTACCTTTTCATCATAGCACCAGACACGCACGGTTTGATCATCACTACAGCTAGCAAGTAAACCCTGCTTTGCGTTCCATGCTGCTTCATACACAACACCCGAATGCCCACGGAGCTTTTGTAACACTTCGCCTGTATCTTGATCCCAAATGTAGACAACCCCGTCCTAATTAATACCCATCCCATTAGTATCAGGTGGCCTGTGCACACATCCCCCATGCAATCCGAAAACATGGACCCTTCAAAACGACATTTACCTCTGATCCACCCACAATAAGGCTGTTATCGGCAAAACATGATCGAATAAAGTTCTTGGATGTGTTTTGATGTCCTTTGAGCTTCTGGATGGGCCGTACCTAATGCAAAAACAACATGAGTCAGATCCAATTGCGATCCATTACCTTCCAAGTAGTAGCCTCTTACCATGCGGACATCCCATAGTCGATTTGAATTATCCTTGGAGCTGCTGAGAAGATAGGTCCCGCTTGAATTCATTTCTACGGAAGTCACTTCTCCAAGATGCGAAGAAATGGTGCGAATACAAAGGCCAGATACGATATCCCAAAACTTGATGGTATTGTCCTTGGAGCTATATTCATCAACCAATGTCAGTTATCAGGTATACACAAAGACCGTTTGACATTACCCGCTGACAACCAGGTTGCCCAAAGGATTGAAAATAGTCTTGGTCACTGCGAGTTGATGGCCTTGGAAGGTCTTGATCACGGCACCCGTGTTGATATCATAGAGACGCACACTTTTATCGTAACCACCTGTCACAATATAATCCTACACATGTCCCTTTTATCAGAAGGATGAAGTTTCATTTAGCTTGTATCCTCCTCCTTTACCTGATGTGGATGGTACCGAGCCGAATAAACATCACCAGAATGGCCAGTCAAGGTAGTCGCACATTGCGGCAAGGAATCTTTAAGGTTCCACACCTAAAAGTAGAGTGAACAATCAAAGCACAAACGATGACCCCCTATCATCCATCACCACCCAACCAACCTTGACAGTGCCATCACCACTGGCACTTGCTACAAAATCACCTTGCGTAGTCGTTGACACGTCCCATATCCGTGACGTGTGTCCTTCCAATATAGCGTGACATTCACCCGTCTCCGTGCCCCATATCCGTAATGTATTATCGCTATGAACCAGAATGAATGAGCCATCGATAATGAGCCATCTCTTTATAGAATACTCACCTTGACCCTGATACAATCTCTTGTCCTTCCTCACCAATGAATTCGACACACTTTACATTCCTTCTGTGACCTGATAGGATGTTGGCGGTTGCATTGGGGATCACAAAGCTTGTATAGTTTTCAAGAAGGCTAACAAAAGGAGTCAATCAGCATACCAAACGCTTGACCAATGCACTAAAAAGAATCACATACGAATGAACTGCAGGAGCGACCTTGGGATGGTATCGAGAAAACTCGATTTGATATGCCACAGCTTGTCGGAGGAGTGTCAATAATCGGCTAGGTGGGATATAACGACTACCTATGAGGGATGTATGAAGGTGAGAATAGAGGTTGGAGACCCTACTTTCGATTCCTACCATTGCGATCGGCCGTTTCAAAATCAAGCATGCTTTGTAACTGATCCACGAGATTTTCTCTAATTAGCCATAGTCAGTGACTCTGTATCCAAAAGACCATTACAATAGCCTACCTAGCACCCATAATACCTTCCCAGTTCTTGAAACTTGGGGCTTCGTGGATTGATTTGGCTGTTAATAAATAACATAGATCCTTGAATTCATTGGGTCTTGTTTGTAGATGCTCCAAGGGCTTTAGCCGCTTATTTAAAAAGGTAAAGGCCTGTGATGTAGAGGGAAATATGAATTCATCCCTTCCCTTATCACCACCAACCACCATGCTTTTACCTTTTGAACCTCCCTCCTTTCAATGTATTCGAGATACTGCTGCTTGTAAATGGAGTATAAAAATGATCGATGATTCTTGACGAGTGGTTTGGTGCATAGCTTCTCGACTTCTTGCCAATCCCCGTCTAAAGTCAGACCATCAGAATCATCATGCATCTTGGCAACCGCCTCCTCCTCGCCATTTCTCATATGTTACCAAGGATAGCTTTTTTGAGTCTCTTGACTTCAATGGTCCGTTCCTCACGCTCTTTCCATTTAACATTGGTCTCGTCGTAAAGAACTGCTTGTGACGCGTGGAACCCTTCATCGGCCAGGTATTGCATAATAATCCCGAGAATGTCCTAAGATCATACATTCATATCGTTTACTAGGACTGCTTCATAGAAACACTCTCATCGCTGCCTTTTCTCGACCTAGCTTACCTCCTTGATTCGAGGATCGTTGGCATTGAAAATATCTTCGGTGGGTCGTACATAGGAAGAATGCATGCCCATGTGCTGTGAGCTAGCCGCCAACCTTTGAATAAAGCAATGAATGAGCATGACCTCCATTTTCCAAGTTGTTGTTAGGTGTGTGTGTGTGTGTTGCGTACCTCCTTCGTCGTCGTGCTGCAGTTGAATGAGATACACTGCTTCTATTCCAGAATGGCGATGGCGGATCGTCTTGGGCTTTTAAGTTGGGAGAATCGTCATTGCCGCTGCCGTCCGCATCATTGATGACCAGATCGCTCAGCATATGGGTTGTGTCGCGTAATAACGTCGATGCTGGTGGATCGCCTGAGCTCATGCTGGCAAAAAGTGAAAGAGAAACGGTCGTCGGGTGCTGAATAAAGTGGGCGGGCTACCTTTATTTTCTATGGCTACTCGCATGATCTTGTATCCAGGAGCTCCCAAGTTTGTATACCACGGGATCTTTCCTTGACCATGAAACCTCTTCCTCCTTTGAAAAATCGTATCTATCAAGCTGCTCTACAATGAATTCAATGCACCTCCCGGATGATAATAAGGCATTCTTTGTTCCGAAAAAGCATCTTTGTATTACTTTTAGATAGAGTTTTGATAATTCCAGGGGATCTCCCACATTCAATGATAACCTCTTTTCTTGCAAGCTCCATTGGATTCTTCATATGAATAAAACGATAGATGGCAACATGCACACAGCTCATGTGTATTAATGATCCTTTTTTTTATTCCGTTGAGGAGGTGTATATGTTATATCTGCGCATGTGGATGTAATGGGAATCTTGGAAGCTATTGCAAAGAACAGATAGATGATACAAAGGTGGTATGTTGTGGTGGTAGGAGACGATGATGGATTGTTGAAAGGGTGAAGAATGTTATGATGATGGTGATGAAGATGATGATGCAGTAGCAGCAGCGGCAGCGGTGACGGTGACGGTGGTGGTGATGGTGGTATTAGCTACTTCCACTTTACCCTCGGGATCTTCAATTTGAATACTCGGGACAGGTGATTCAGATCGGCTGCTGGATGATGTAGAAGATTGACGACTTGCAAGCACAGCAGTAGTAGCAGCAGCGTTTTGCTTTCTTTGTTGTTGTCGTAGCTCACGCATGCAATCCTGACGAACGGCTTGGAAGGCATTCAAATAGGTTACCAGCATATGATCCTCGAGACATGTCTTTGAGATGAGCATTTCTTTGGATAATTGAGGCGATCCTTTGTGAAGAGTGAATAGATTGGTATTGTCATTGGGGTCGTCGATCGAGTTATTCCTTGGACGTCCATTCCCATTTGATTTGGATGTCAATAATGCTGGTTCTGAATGACTCACTGGCATATCATCCAACAAAGAAAATGCACGTCGTGATGATGATGCTTTGCTACTTTCTTCTCGTTTTGATGGGCTTCGTGTTGGCACTGCATCATCGGTTGTGGAAGCGCGTCTCTTTTTGTTGCCTTCAGAGGGCTGTCGATGAAATTGGTATACTTGGCCAGGGATGTAAAGTAGTGGATAACGAGGCTCATTTGAATAAAAGATCTCTTGACGTCGTGTCTCAATGATATCAAAACAAGCCTTGCGTGCTTTAGTATCCGAGTTGATCTTGCTACTGCCACCGAGACCATCGACAGAGATCATTGTATCCATAATCAGCTCTTTGGAACAACTTGCCGTGCCATAAGATAATCGTGCCACCAAATCATCTTGACATACAAAGCTGTCAATGTATTCGGAATACTTTTCGCTTAAATCCAATGATACGGATGCCACAGGTGCATAGCTGTAACAATGCACTTGAAAGTTGGGGTTGTCAGATAATCGTCTCAGCTCATCAATGTGATCAGCAACCATCATGGTGATCAAAGCTGCAGTACCAGCACCCAACGAGTGTCCCGTGATGATAAACGATGAAATGGGGCGTGTCTCTGATTTGCAATTCTCGTGGATATAATGAAAGATTTGTGGAATGATGCGCGTAAAGAACCATTGTGCTGATGCCAGCATGCCTGCATGAACAAGTCCACCTTTCCATGGCCGATACTCGCACACAAGATCGGTAATGCAGTCGTATAAACTCCATGTGCCACGAATACCAAGGACAATGGCTTCATAACCACGATCAATGGACACAAAATAACTCGGCTGGAATACTGCTCCTTTGCGTAGACCATATTCGTATCCCAAAAGGTCTTCTTGAGGTATCTTGAGATATCGCACAATGGCTTCCTTATTGGATCGAGTCTTCATGACATCTAAATGGAAATGTTAATCATTGCGAGATGACTCAAGGTGTTTTCATCATTTACCTTTCAAGTACTTTGCATAATCTCCAAGATAAGAAAGACCTCTCCAACCCTAAAAAACATCATGTTGTGTGTCAAAAGAAAAGTTCATCCACTTGTAGGGTGATCCATTCACTTACATAGGCAATAATGGCATGTCCCAAAAAGTAGTTTGCTTTGTCTAGGAATCTAAGATCCGATACCTTTTCTGCAGGAGGTGGTCTAGACCCATAGGAGCATAGTTTAATATACAATCCTCAGCCAAAGTTACGTTACGAGCTCACCTAGGTATATCAGCATAGAAATTTTGCAAGAGTGAAAGACACGAGAGCAGCTGAATCCCCGTGATTCTAAAACCTTGTCCCTATAGAGATGAGATTATGAGTTATATGATGCATCACCAAAAGATCAATAAGGAGAAGTAGGAGGAGGATACGTTACAAAACCGGTAAAGATCTTGACAACAGCACGGACCAAGATTCGAGTTTGCGGACTGACAACAAAGCCGATCATCCGGTCTAGACTTGGATGAGCAAGCGCCACCTCTTCGAATGATTCATTGATCCATCGAAATGCAAAATTCTTGTCTCCAAAGTTATGACTCCTGATACTCGATTCAGAATTCTTTCGCTTGACAGTACGTCGCCTATTCTCCATGTCGGATCTTGAGAAGCCATAGCCACCAGCGGCGGCATCCGCTGCTGCTGCTGTCGTCGTGCTGGTATCCAATCTTCGGGTACTTTCTGTGCGACGAGCCAACTTGTTGTACAACTGCTTCCGAAAGACCAAATCAATGGATGATTGTCGTCCAATCGTTCCAATACTTGGTTTGTTGGGAGGTGGGGCCAAAGATCGTGACGATGGAATCGCTGATGGGTCATCCACAAGAACAAGATTGGGTTCAACCGCATCATGAAAGTCCTCCATTTCTGATGATGATTTTTCAGTGACATCATTGTCGTGGTCATCATCATCATCGCTGCTGTTGCTACCACTACTGCTACTGCTGCTGCTATGGACACGGCCTGCTGCTGACGTTGTCGTTTCACCGCTACTGCTCATAGTAGTATTATGCGTTCCTACGCTGCTCAAGGTGACCATGCTGTTGCCGCTATTCCTGCTCTTGCCACTTTGAGATGAAGCCAATGTGCTACGATCCATAAAGCTGCTGACTATGCTATGCGTATCAGCATCCTTGTATACTGGAGAGAGTGTATCATGCATGTCGGGAGGCTTTTGATAAGAGTAGCGTACTCGTACTTGCACGGAGCCGATCAATGGTGTCATTGAATGTTTGCGATGGCTTGGATGCTGTTCACGATAACTCGCTTGTTCTTGAGTGCGAAATCGAGGAATGTGTGATTTGAGAAAGTTGTGTGGCAGCTGAATATGGGCGGGCAGATAACGACGAGTGTGATATTCATACATCGGAATGAACCTAACATAAACAACAACAACAACAACATTAGAGAAAACGTACTTGTAAATCGCTCCTTCTCTCCCCCAACAACATACGTAAGGAAAACATCATCTCGATTGTTGAGTTGCAAGAGTCTCAGCTTAGCTTTGCCGATATGACGAGTTTTAGAACGCCATCCATTGCGTCTGTCAAAGAGATCAAGCTAAGATTGATATTATCGTAACACAAGAGTGAGAAATCCAATATGGGAAATGGAGGGCCGCTATGCGTTTTACCTCAATTGTGTCAAACAGCTGATTATGGAAGGATATCGTAAACAGGAACCCCTCGTTCCAGTCTCCATGCGACGCCTTGGAACATGATGAAAAATATCGCTGTGGTCCCATCCTTAAACGTACAAAGGGTCGTTTCACCTTGACATCAGATCGCACATTGAGCAAATCAATCTAAATGTGATATACCGTAAGTTACATATATAAATAGAGACATAGCATTTAGACACGTACTTGTAGTTTGCCTGGTGGTAGGGCGTTTATTTGTAGAGCTTCACGACGAGCCCATTCAGAGCGTAGTTCTCTCATATCAGGCAATGACAAACGTCGAGAGGGGAGTGTGGAATGGACCTTGTTATCCGATGCATGTTGAGCAACAGGTCTTGGGGAGGAGGGATTGGTGGCATGGTGGTGGTGGTGGTGGTCATGGGCAACCGTAGTTGACGATCGAGCTGGTGGCGGTGTGGCCATTGAAGTCGCGACCATGGTGGTATGTGCTGCTCGCGTTAGTTGCTAGAGAGAGCAATGCTGAACAAGGCAACGATAACGACGACGACAAAGTAGTGTGCAAAACGGGAAAAAGAAGTGTTCAATAAAGTACAAAGCGGGAACAAGAGCTAAAGAGGCAAGCAATCACCCTGATTTCTCTCAATGGATGTAGCCACGTGCCTACAAGATCGGCGTCAACGTCCGAAAGGCGGAGCCAGATGATGTCGTCTTCCTGCATAAACGAAGAGGGGGGAGAGAGGGGAGCAGAGATAATACTCTTCACATCGCTTCTTTACAGGTACCCGTTTCATCTCTTGTAACAGCCATCTTGTGTGTATATAAAATATAGGTACAACCTTTATTACATGGAGGATAATGAATTCAGCAGTGTTGTGTATGTGCGATAGAGTATCCGTTTTCATGCAAAATTATTATACTTGTATAGAAACTTAGGAAGTACCATGATCTGCGACTGAATATAAAGAACGAAAGAATGAATGAATGAATGACATTATCCCTCCTTCTCCTTTTAATCCCTAAAACGCCCTATACATTTATTGATGATTAGGTTCATCATCATCGTCATCACAATCAATATTGCCCTTAGTTCTGATTGACATTGCCAAGATCCTTGCATGCTTGTTGCACACGAGCAATCATTGTCTTTTCGGCCTCGCGAATGAACACACGTGGATCATAGTACTTCTTGTTGGGTTTGTTTGGTCCTTCAGGATTACCCACCTGAGTTTGAAGATAATCCTTTTTGGCTTGATAATAATCCTTGAGACCAACCCAATAAGCCCATTGAGTATCGGTATCAACATTCATTTTGACAACGCCGTTGTTGACTGCAGTGGCAATTTCTTGTTCAGTTGAGCCTGAGCCACCATGGAAGACAAAGAATACAGGCTTGTCATTGTCAGTCTTGAGTTGCTCTTTGACATAGGCTTGGTGCTTCGCCAATAACTCTGGATGCAGCTTGACATTGCCTGGAGCATAGACACCATGCACGTTACCGAAAGCAGCCGCAATCGAAAATAGATCAGTGACTTCGCTGAATGCCTTGTAGATGTCCCAAATATCTTCAGGTTGGGTGTAAAGGGAAGCATTGTCCACACTTTCATTGTTCACACCATCCTCTTCACCACCCGTAATACCAATCTCCATTTCCAATAAGCATCCCATAGGCGCCATACGCTTCAAATACTTGAGACAAATCTCAATATTTTCATTCTTGGGCTCCTCCGACAAATCGAGCATGTGCGATGAGAACAGGGGCTCACCGTTGGCCTTGAAGTATTCCTCGTCCGCTGCCAACATGCCTATTATTATCCCATAAATAGGATGGCTAGATTAGCTTGCTTTAAAAGAAAACCACATCATCTTTCTTGTAAAACCACATTACCATCGAACCATGGAATCAATTTCTTGGCACAGTGATCAGAGTGGATGACAACAGGGATACCATACGCCTTGGCCACTGTACGCACATACTGCAAAAGGTATTAGTAACACCATCCTATTTATGCAGGGCGTGGTAATGGGTGGTGACAGAAAAAGGGAATATCCATGATGGGTGTGGGGTAATAATGTATACCTGTGCACCAGCAACAGCACCAATAACGGATGCTTCTTGATTCTTGTTGCTTAAACCTTTGCCAGCAACAAAGGCGGAACCACCATTTGAGAACTGAATAATGATCGGCGACTTGATATCACGAGCTGCTTCAAGAGCCGCATTGATCGTGCTACCATCATCATCCATCAATAGAAAAAAAGCGGGGTCAGCGATCATACCATCATCGTCAACAACAATCCCTTCCCTTTCTTTCTCCTTTGACATTATCCTTTCGCCACCTTTTGTGCCATCCTCCTTGTCTATGCTCCTCCCAATCTCCTATCTCCTTCTTTTCCTTACCTTGTTGAAGTGCAGTTGATGGCTGGGATGGCAAACTTGTGCTCTCGAGCTAAAAAGGTGAATGCAATCAGCCAAAGCGTGCTCGCCATTCTGTGAAACCAAACCACCCCACTCATTACCATATTGGAAAAGCTTGCGTAGATTGTCACCAGTGACAACACCGGCGGGAACAATATCGAGTACACCCATGTTGGAAAACGATAATCAATGAAAGGAAAAGAGAAAAAAGAAGCGTTTCTTTTGTGTTTATACAAGAGAGAGCGTGTTTAATATCTGTAAACAAAGGTGGTTTCCATGGAAAAAACATATTTGTTTGGATCATGCATCAACGTGTCCTTGAAAGTGTACTTTATCATGCGTCATCATCCATCTTATCCCACGCTTAGCGATCTATTTGTTGGATGTTGACCATGGAATGATCGAGAGGCACACAACCCACAACTGCCGAGGTGAGCTAAATATGTCTCGGGAGATGTCTTATTCGAGACTCTTTAGTTTTCGATTTGTTTCCGACGCTATCTTTTCTTTTTTCCACTCACACACGCACACAACAACACCATGAGCAAAGAAGACGTCAACGACACATCTGCCATGGAGACACAGCAGCCATCTGCATCAACAACATGTGCAGAAAAAGGTTCGCAGAGTATGCCCTCTAATGACTCAAAAGCTGATCTTTCTTGCCAGTCGTCCGACGAGGCTGGTGCCGATGAGAAGACAACCACAGTGGGTATAACTAATGTTCTTTGTTCTTTTGATATGTGTAACGCTGATCCGTTTCATCAGCCTACGGCAAACAATGGTTCCACGCAGGATACAACAACGAGCACTCCAATAGATTCATCTCAAGAAGGTGCAGCAGGAACGACCAGTAGTAAGGACAACCATGATACAGCATCATCATCGTGGACAGCAGTATGGGATCCTACATCTCAAGCCTATTATTGGTGGAATATGATCACGTATGAGACTACATGGGAGAATCCATATGAGAAGAAGGTGGTGGAGGAGGATAACAAAAAGCTGGATGAATCATCTCAACAGGAGGAGGTTTTCAACAACAACAACAACACTACTTATCCCTATGCAATGGCAACGTATCCAATGGATTCAACAAACGTACCTTCCAATCTCGTGGATCATTCATACACCTATCAAGCTTATTTCAACAAAAGAACGGGCAAGTTTCAAATGGCAAGTGATGTTGATCGTTTGAATCCAGAGCGAATGTCGATTGAAAACAGGGCAAAGCGACAAATGCAGTATTATTTTGACGTGGATGCCTACACTGAGCAACGTAATAGAGAACGAGCAGCAGGTATCCCTGGCAAGGTCACCAAGCGCCATTTGACGAAAAAGGACATTGAACGATTCAAAAAGGCAAAGCAAGAAAAGAGAATGAAGCGTGCTCGTGAATGGCTTTGTGATTGATGCTTTATATCCAATAAACTATATATACAATGATACAATATGATTTTCTCTCGCACTACAATGTAGCTTGTAAATGTTGTCAATAAAACCATCGATCGTAAAATTAACCAAGAAGTCTATGTATCTTGATTTTTAATTGAAGAGCATGCACCTTGTTATCTCAATGCCATGACAACCCGATCCCATGGCAACCAAGCCTGAATTGTAGCCGGCTCTATGTCTGTACCTGTACAACCAACATGTGTCCCCATACCAATATTGATTGTTACTGTCACAATGGATAACTTCCTCATCATTGAATGCGTGTGTATTATAATGAATCCATACTCCCAAAACAATCAACATCATCCCACTTGTGTAGCAACCTGTCATGGACGTGTCTGTGTAACCACCACGTGCAGTTTCACTCAGCTCTTCTTCATCTTTCCGTTGATGCAGCCGACACCATTCACTAGGAAAAAGCAACTCCATCACGCTTACAGCATAGGTAAACCATAAACGTGCCTGTATCTCCAAACTTTACAATGAAACGTGCGGTTTTTATTAGAGCAATAGACTCGGCTTGGCCAACAGCACCTTGTGTGAAAGTTTCACGTTCAATGTCGCAACTAGCCCAAAAAATATTTTTTTGGTCGTCGTCGTCGTCGAAGAGGTCGACCCCCAGATCCAGTTTGGCTGGTAGCGACATTGCGAAATCTGGGATTGGCGAGCTTGATCGTGAAACTGGCACCCAAGGTGCAGTTGGCCAAGCCGAGCACATTGCTCTAATAAAAACCTCACGTTTGATTGTAAAGTTTAGAGATACAGGTACCTTTATGTTTGTAAGCGTGATGCTATATGAAGAATGGTCTTTGTTCATTGTCAAGTAGGTGGACCCCAGCAGAGCAAAAGATGCAGAGGGTCGTGTTGTGTAACACAGCTACGTTTGCATGAATGAAAGGGTCAATGTATAATTACTTTATGGATCATCTAGGAACAGGCATGTATTGCTAGCTAACGGTCACTTTTATCCAATCATCATTGTTGCGAGATCCACTGCATGGGGACGATGCCTCTACTCTAGACATTCATTTCCATGATTAAAGTAGGTTGATCCGAGCTGATTTGACTGAGCTACGGTCAAAGAGAGATTACATCACTCTGGACATAAAGCACGCTCGATGTAGCTCAACCGATGTAATCTTGTGTGAGCGTAACTCGACCAAATCAGCTCGGATCAACCTACTTTAATCATGGAAATGAATGTCTAGAGCAGGAGCATTGTCCACCTACAATAGAATGCACAAAAGTTGGGAATGCACAAAAGTGGCTATTAGCTGCCAATGTATGACATAAAAGCGAGAGTTGCGTACCTATCATGCATTGTCCCTGAAGTCCTGACTTTTTAGCTGAGTTACCCAAAGAGGTCGTTCTGCATCTTTGGCTCTCCAGGGTCTAGCTACTTGGCAATGAACAAAGACCACTCTTCATATAGCATCACGCTTACAAACATAGAGGTGCCTGTATCTCTAAACTTTACAATGAAACGTGGGGTTTTGAATAGAGCAATGTGCTCGGCTTGGCCAACTGCACCTTGTGTGAAAGTTTCATGATCAAGCTTGCCAATCC